AATATTTTTGTCTGTATCAGAACTGCTATCATCTAAAACAAATACATTATTACAAAATATAATTACATTTATCTATATTATATAAAAAAAGAGTATTATTTTAAATTTAACACCAAATCTCAAAAACTACTTGGCTTATGAAACGTAGTAATGTAGTATATGCATAGGAAATGCCTGCTAAGAACGGGTTTCACGAAATTCAACCCCTAAAGGAGATAATAAAGGGTTGTAGGAATATAAAAGTGGTGCCATCTGTCCAGCAAACTCAAATTTAGGGTTGGAAATTATACATTTACGTACACACCTCGCGAGGTCTACAATTCACCACAAGTGGATCGCCTACCTGATAATATACTGCTCGCATAATCACAAGCGAGTCTCACAAGAAACGCTGTGCTGGGAGGGATGGCTATAATATTATATAATATTAATAAACATTTCCTGACTGACTCACTGGCTAATCAGCGTATAGAGCCTAAACAATGATAGCTTGAAGCTTTTTCACAGTACCTTCGTACCACCATGTAAGTATACACTAAGAAAGCATTTTCCAAAATTTGCATTTTTAAGTGGTGCTTCTGTTAATACAAGTATTTTGAAATTCGAGATGGTCGATGAAAATTTTTAAGTTATGAACACCATTACACCGAATATTAAATAACAAATTGAACAATGTTTGAATCATAAAAAGTTGGCATTTTTATGGGCAACAAAGTGCGCGGGGTCAGTTGGTATATATATATATATATATATATATATAATATATTGCATACTATAATAGTATCCCACAATAAAACTATTCTTAAACATTACCAAACTATTTAATATTAATTTATATAAAACTCAATAAATATACTCACCATTTATATTCCATTGTTTTGATTTAGAAACCAGATTTTGACAATAATCATTTTCACTGAAATATAAAAAAAAAATATTAAATTAAAAATTCATTATTGAAGATTAAAACATTTCTTCTGGTATAAAAAGTGGATTTAGGATAATTGGTCCCCACGAAAATACGACACATGAGGAAAATTGGCAGCCAGCTTAAAAGTTAAATACAAAATATTTTTTTAGGATAGTAAGTATGGTAAAGATAGTAGTGTTATACTTTAAAACCCTTCAACATTTTTAAATCTATTCTGATATCTATTGACTATTATGATACCTATTTGTATACCTATACAAAAATGTGATTAAACTAAAACTATTACACTATATAAACTAATTTTGATTGTCTCAAGAAAAATTATTGGCCGAGGACCAATTATCCACTTACTGAAATTTTATGCTGCAACCAATTGTAAATATACTATAAAAAGTGACTTTTGAAAATAATAACCCCATTGTACTCGTACAACTTCCTAACGTTAAAACCAACTATTATGTATTTTAAATAAAAAATTACTCGTTATCCATTTCATCCCCGTCAGGATAATCATTTCTCCAACTCCCTTCATCATTGGAATCATCATCATCTTCACAGTTTGAGGAATCATTATCAGAGCTATCAATATTTCGGCAAATATTCCAAAAATTGTCGGAATCTAAACCATGTACACTGAAAATAAAATATATACAATTTTAAATGTACTTAAAGTGGGTAAAATCATTGATTATAATATATATTATACTGTGTATAATCAATGGTAAAATGTAATTAATAATGGTACCTATCAATTGATTTATTATCATTATTGGATGCATAATACAAGTCGTATACATAGTCATTTGAAATTCCTTCATATATTAAGGGCTTGCCATTATCTTCTATTTGCTTAACAAAATCAACAACTTTTATTTCTGAATTCTTTACATCTATTTCTTCAATGGGTACTGTATCTTGTTTAACAGCTCTGAGAGTGTTAACTAGCTAAACAAATTTAATTTAATTTAAAGTACTGAATATTATAAACTATCAAATAATTAATAAGTATTGTCTACCGTTCACAACATATATTAAGTTAAATATGTTTTAAAAAGTACGTACGACCTTTATTATACAAAAAGTAAATAATTGACTTGTCCCTCACTCTTTTCCATCTTAGCAGAGGATATGAGTGAAATACATTATTATTATTAGTTAAAAAGCAATTATAAACTACTGTATTTAAAAAATGATGTCAATCTCATGTAAAGTTAAAGCTCACTTACAGAATCTTAAATGTAACTATAGTTCAAAACATTCTTAACTAAGATATACTTGTGAAAAAATATAGGTAGATCTAGGTATTTATATTTATAATTGCTCTTACTGAGTAGATCACCTACTTTATGATTTCAGTACTAATAAATTATAATTATGATTTCAGGGCTAATAAATTATAATTATAATTTAAGACAAACCTTCAAACGTATTGCTTTTGAATGTTCAACTACATCATTAATGTTTTTGTTTTTGTTCATCTTTGTTAGCTCTTTTACGGATCTTTCTTCTCTAACCTCTTTCAATATTTGAGATAAGTTTTCATTCTAAAAATTAATTTGAATTGAACAGAATTAAAGATAAAATATTGAACTGTCAAATTAATATTACTACATAGGAACTAGGTAGGTAAGTGTCTTATAGTTATTTAACAAATATATTATTGTATGAAAAATCACTTTGTCTTTTAAAGTTGCAGCAAATTGAAACACACAATCTCTACTGAACTCTGTACCGATAGTTTTTAATTTCTTGTGCGATACGACGATTGAGTTGAATAGATCTTCGTTGTGATGTCTTTTAACACGAACAAACGACATAGCTATTGACTGTTATTAGTTAAGTACAGTAGTTGCACAGAACAATAGTAGTTGTAAATTTGTAATCAATCTCAAAGCAAAGTATTAACTATAAACAATGTTCTAAATCAATATCCACTGTCACAATGATGAATGATTGAATGATTAGAAGACAAGTTAAAACCTTTAAATCACTAGAGCTATTTAAATTTTAAAAGTTAAAGCCATAAGAATATGTGATAAATAAACATGAAACAAAACAACTTAAAAGTTAAAACCACGCCCAAGATGATATCAATTATCAGGGAATCCGGATAAACGTTGCCAACATCCTATCAGTGTTTTTTTACAAAGCTTGTAAATCGTAATTCGTAAATTTATTTTATTTATTTTTAAATAATGAAAATATTCGCTTTTTTATTGTGAAGCACTGAAGAGAAGTATTGGATCTATTGGTTTTAACTTGTATAATGATATTTATTTTTATTTATTACTTATTTACCTAGACACTTTTTCAGATAGTAGACTTCGTCCAGGTTATTTTAGGTTAGGTCCCTTTTAAAATGTTCATATTATCATAGAACAATAATATTATGTAGCATTTAAAACACAAAACATAAAACATAAATATTAAATCATAATGTTATATGCACAGTGTAATAAAAAGTTAAGGTGGTTAACTATATTAAAAAAATTTCGAACTTAAAATGAATAAGATAAAATAGTTACTTAAAAACCAATAGTTCCTATTATAATATATTATAATATGTACGAGTAGGTACAAAATATAATATATACTATATATTATATAGGTACCTACCTAACTATACCTAACTAATAAGAATAATACATTTTATAAGACAATATTGGCAATACATATTTTATTTGACACTGTAAAAACATTAACTTCTGTTGAAACACAATAGTCAATAGTTGAAACAAATTACCTGTATGGCTATATGCTTAAAAAAAATGTTTATGATCTAAGGTTTTCCCGCCCATTTTTAGTTATCATTCAACACTATATTAATCAAAATACTAGAAGTATAAAATTATAAAAATTTTAAACGTTTTGATTACCTATAAATAAAATGATAATTTACATTTCGACAACGAATCATAATAATATCATTGAACTTAAATATTTTTTGAACCAATGTTGAAATAATTTTATTTTAAAATTTTGAAATTTTATGTTTTACCTATGACGTGTTATAATTCAGTAAACATAGATACATATGGAACTCTCATTGAATTTTGAACAACTACAACTAAAATCTAAGTATTTACATACTAATTCAAAACATACACACTTTCGTGAGAATAGTGAAAATGAATTGTTTGTTTCGTGGGACGATTGTGTCATGGTTTTATATTCATAGACGGTTTACCTGAAGCTAGTCTTTGGAACCCTAATGAACCTGTGGTAAGTTATTAATTATGATATAATACATTTGTCTCATTAAATTTTGAAAAACCTAAAATAGGTTTAAATTAGTTAAATATGTAGGTATTGGGTACCTATGCACCTAATTGTCATCAAGTGTGGTACCTATTCAACTATTAAAGGCATTTTAATTGATTTAAATATTTATTTGTACTATATAATCATATATAATATAATATACATTATTCAGTACTGGCTATTTATTTTAAAATAATTATGAAAATTAAAATTTGTTTGTTGAATGAATATGTAAATTGAATAATAAATTATTATGAGTTTTTCATTTTAGAGCAACATGTAGAATATAATATTATGTAGTATTAATATTTATACAATTTGAGTCAGTTATTATAATTCAAAAACTTAAAAATAAATGAGATTTAGAAGTTATATGCCCATTATCAATACTTATCAGTAAGAAAAGATTTTTAGATTTAATAAATTAAAATCTTAAAATATTAATAATTATTCTTAAACTTTGATTCTTTATGGTTTTCTTGTGAATTTAGGCATGACATATTTATTTACTATAGAGATTTCTAACTTTAGTTGGTCACCTACCAGTTGAGAAACACTGCTGTATAGTTTCTACTTCTAAAATAGTACATAATGTTATATTAGTTTGCGAGCATATTAATCAAAAGGTCATATTATAATATATTTAGGTATTTATAGTTAAAAAATCTACATTTAAAAAGATGTGGGAACAATTAATGACCGTGTTAAAATGAGGTATATTTAACTGCAATAAAAATATGGTCACAACTTTCATACTAAATGAGAATATATAGGTTGTGAATAAATAATGGAATTGACATTCAATACATCAAACATTGTCATCTAAAAAGAAAAAAAACAAATTAAACCATAATTAAATAAAAAAAATCATTTTAGTAAGGGACAATATTTGCTTACCATGAAACACCCATTTTGTTTCTTTTGGATTTTTGCTGCCAGTTTTTACGTATATGCTATCACCTTCAGGTCTTTTCTGTTAAATAAAATGCAAATTATTTTTGCTATATCCCATATTATTATGTTTATATGTGCATATATATTTATGATGATAAATTATAAAGCAACCACATTGCAATATAAATAATTAAGTGCTCACAAGTACTTTTAATTTATACAAGTAGGTATTATTGGATAAATTAAAATACAAGCTAACTTAGGTGCACTAACTTATGACTTATGAGTTTATACTTTTATGTCCTACAAAAGATTAAAATATGATTTAGTTTTTCACTAAATATAGAAATATTCCGTCTAAATGCGTACTCAAAATCTTATAAACATTCAAAAAATACAGCAACAAGAAAGTACTTACAATCAAAGGTAAGTACTTGATGTTGTCTGCCTATTGATATGTTATTTTTCTTATCAAAATATTCTAATATTCTCAATGTATATATATATATATTTGCAAAACATTTTTATTTTAGACAAAACAGGATTATGATCCAACCATAATTCTTACTATACTACTCATGCACAGGTTCAAAATGATCAATAAAAAAAAAAAATTATAAATCTTTTTCTATAACATTTTCAAATAAACGGCTAATTATAATATTACCTATCCCTAAAGTAGTAAAGTATGCTTTTATAAGCAAAATAGTAAGTCAACTTTTAATATTAATTTTAAGTTTAAAAATGTATCCACATAATACCTTACCTCTTTATAGCAGCATACACTCAAAAAAATATACATAAAAACATAGAAAAATGTAGGAATACATAATGAATTAAATTTAAAAACATTAAACATTTATAACTCCTAGTGAGGGTTCACTTATTTATGTTGTGTCTTGTGGGTAATGTAATTTATATTAAGCAACTAATGAAAATTAGTTTAAGGTTTGCAGAATATCATATATCATATTGTTGTTTGTATAACATTTGTGAAATCACCTTTTCTTTGCAGCTGCTTAGCATAGACATAATTGAAAGACAGACAGACTGAACAGATAATGCTGGTGACCAGTCAACAGTAAGAATAGATAAACATATATGGCCATTACTATACACATGTGGATGAACTGGAATGTTTTGGCCTACAAATGTAACCTAAAAAAATATTCATATTAAATAAATTAACCATTATAATATATTTAAAATTGTTTACTTCAGGCGACTCAAATGGAAATCTGGCACTAAATTTGAACTGTAACTGAAACTGTTCTCCATCATATAAAGTACCTTCAGCGCCTTGCATATTTATAATCCAACTAAAAAATACAATTAACGTTAGATATTATTCATATTCTATGTACAAATTATTAAATTAATTTTCATAAACATTAAATTTGTTTTAATAAATCCAAATTTAATTTGAAAATATTATACTCATACTAAGTTGTTGTATTTATAAAAATGTTAATACTCAAATAATAGTTACATTATTGAAAATCTAAGTTTACATTGTTAAAATGATTGTAATTATTAAAAGTTTATATTTTCTACAAAACTTTTTATTTGATGAAATAACTTTAATTTGTTGGAATAAATGTTTATCATTTGTGGTGCTGATCTACATATTGAAAAGATATAAATACCCGCCTCTAAAATATTAGATTATTAACTATAATTACAATAATTTGGATACTATAAATGTTTAGAATATTGTAGAGTATTTACAATCAAATTTCTGTTGCAGAACTAGTAATAAATACATTGATATTATCTACATAATAGCCATAAGATCTAAACAAAATTCTATATTATAATACCCAGGCCCTATTTTTATGTGCACCACGACACACAATGTGCACTACGAATATACAAGTGTGCACTACGATTTGAACGTGTGTGCACTACGGTCTACAAAACAAAAATTGCCAAGTCAGGGATCGGCATGTAAACTTTCTTGATTTTGAATTTTTAGAAATTTTTTAACTAATTTAATCACACCCAAGCGGTCAAACAATATGAATCCAGAAAAATGTCGGCTTGAACAGCCCCACAAAAAATCATTTTCATTTTCATTTAGTGAGATAGATCTCCAAAACTGGACAGCGGATTTCGTTGATTTTGGTCTTGTTAGATTCACATTGGTTAGGAGAAGTGCAGTGAAGATTTGCAGAACTTTATCTTTAATAGTTAATTCACTACAGAACATTAAAATAAATTAAAACAAATTTTATTGGGCGTTTTTTTTATGTTTTTCATCTTTACAGCTTTGTAATGAATTAACAATTTTAGATAAAATTCTGAAAATCTTCACTGCAATTCTCCTAGCAAATGTGAATTTAACAAGACCCCAAACAACAAAATCCGTTCTCCAGTTTCGGAGATCTACATCTCTAAATGAAAATCTAGAGAAAATAACTCTTTTTTTTTTTATCTGTGAAAAATTAAATAATTTAAAAAAAAAATTAATTCAATATTTAGTGTCTACCTGATAATCCCTTTTTAATGAGTTATCAACCAAATTTCTAGCTAGGTATCATAGTTTAGGATAAAAGTTAAAAAATAGAAATTTTGGGACTGTTCACGCGAATGTTTTTATCGATTCAAATTGGGTATACCGCTTGGGTGTGATATAAAATCTCTCTTATTAATATTTTATATTAAAGCTAGCTAAATTACCCACCTATTCATCATTACTGAGTTACAATTTTATTATTTTCCTATTTAACACAAATTCTTGAAGTTTTCAAAGTTCAGACTTTTTTCATTTCAATTACTATACTTACTTGATGAAAAATCAAGAAAGTAATATGCATTGTTATGATTTTAATTATTAAAAAGTTAAGTTAAGGTTTTTATTATTATATTATGCTATTTAATTTTTATGATTTTTATTAAAAGATAAGTATTTTGTTGTTTTATTAAATTGCATTGTTAAATTATTGTATACATATGGTATATAATATATATATATTATATATGTAATATGTATTATGTAATACATTCCTTTTGCTAAGATGGTAGCGAGAATAAAATGAAACGTGCAGTCCGAAATTTTACAAATAATAGGGCCTGATAATACCTATAGCAATAAAACAAAATTAAACACAATGCATTTTAGAGTTAAAATAAGTACCTAGGTATAAATGAAATCTTGAAATTTTAATAATATTATTACAGGACACATATTACATAAAGTATAAACATTTGAATAATATACATTATCGAATAAATATTGATTAAACACATAAGCAATGATTAATATTACTAACATTTTGAGATTTTCTTCAGCTTGTACATCTAAAGACATTCCTGGAGGAGGTTCTCTGTTAAATAGTTGGAATTCTTTTAGAAGTCTTTTCTATGAAAAAACGAAAAATAATAATAATATTTTTATACAATGAAGAAAGTAATTTTCACTATGCATAATATGGAAATACATACTTCAAATGTAGTTTTATCTGCCATCACACGACTATTTCCGACACTAAAACAGTTAAATTAATCGTATGTTTTAGTATTAATTATCGTGTTGCTTGATCATCAAGAATTTAGAACTTAATATAAAATACGTCATATTGATAATTTACTAAAATCGATGGAAATGAATGTTATGTACCTACTCGATTAGCGAGACACGAGCATAGATAATATAAGAATGGATAAGACCTAAGAACTTATCACATGCAAATTTGGTGATACTATTTTTAAGGTTATATGAAGCAAATATTGATATGATAATAAAATTGATAAATAATAATAAATAAAATTTATATAATTTAAATTTGTTAAAATATTATTTTCCGATTTCCATTTTCCAGGCACAGGTGGCACAACAATCAAAATACAAACTGACAAATATCTAAATATAGCTGACTATCATGTTATTATTATTATTTAATAAAATAGTTTTGCACATAACCTTAAAAAGCCTCATATCGTCTTTCTCTCTTTACGTTCTCTCTTCCCCAAATAAGCACACGGCCTCATATGGAACTGGTATAGGCATGTCCTATCCATTGTTATATTATCTATGGACACGAGAGGATCGCGAGCTGGTTATTACAGTTTTCTTATCATCGTAAGGTCGATTTCTACAACTTGACCCACACTGTATAATCGTTGATGCCTACGTTGTAAAAAAAATCCCTCGATTGGTTGAGTAAAACCATCTTGGGTGGGCCTCAGAGTTCAAAAAAAGTGCAAAAGTTACAAAAAACGATGACAACCAGTTTTGATAATGAGGTGGCGTTGCGCCCAGGATCCTCTCTTAATACATAAATGTATATATTATTAAATATATTTATAGTAATATATTAAAGTTCTTTAACAAAAAATAATAGCGTAGGTAAAAAATTTACATTTATCCGAGTCTGAAAAAAATACAAAAAAGCCTTTTCAGTAAAATAGTAATTTAATATATATATATATATATGTATATAAATGGGTTGGATAGGTATGCAAGTTCCTTATATAAATCTATAAACAGAGTTGTGAGTAATATTGAAAGTATGCATATTTTATATATTATTACAAGCTAATCACGTACACTTTGTTGCCGTTCAATGTACCAACTCTATATGACTCAAGCTTAAAAACTTAAACACTTAAACTTAAATACTTTTTAACCACAACAATTTTACTATGTTAGTACATATTTTTATCAAATCATAAAATTTATTGACAAACGGGTTTTTGTTCAATTATAATCAACATTCTACACAATAAAATAATCACGCAATTGCCATAATTGTGTGTTGCAAGATTTAGGTAGATCACAAAAATCATGTTAGAACACTATGTGTGTTGTGCACATACATGAAAAAATTTGTGAAAATCATTAAAATGTACAAATAATTTTGTAGTTAAAATCTATAAAATGTTCAGTTCAAAATATTTGAAAAAAGGTTTCATTTTTATTGTCCTAAAAAGGTGAACACAAAAAAAATTTAATTTTTAAAACATACATTGTAAAATCAATACATTTGAATTAAAATTAATTCAACTTACAGGCTTAATAAAATATAATAACAATATAAAATATAAAATATCTAGACTGACAAACCGTCTCTGCTCAGAATCATTTTTCTTATACAATTATATGATAACATTGAATTCAAATTTAATATAATCCATTATACAGTGATCCGCTTGTATTATACTGTACAGCAGAGCGACATCCACTTACACTCTTTTTTTATATAATTATTATTAAAACTGAAGCCAGTAAGTTATGTATATTATTTGTACTTTAGATGTTTCAAAAACCCTCAAATAATAATAAAAAGTAATAAAAATAATCAATATTATAACACAAAATTAAAATTGTTTTTCATTGTTTAAATGTCTAATTTCGTCCAAACTCGAACTTCAAATAACTATAATAAAAAAAATTATTTGCATTTTTTAGATTAATTTGGTTAAATTAAGAACTACTTACCTGGAATCTTATTTTGAATTTTGAATTCCTAGCTATAAAAATTGAACATTTTATACATTTTTAATTGTAAAATAATTTGTAAATTTTCAATATTATAAATTTTGTTGAAATTTTAACTTTAAATGTTTTTGAAATAACTCTTGCACATATATTATTATTAATATTTTTAAACTGATATTGTAACAATGTGTGAGGAACCTTATATTAAATTTTCAAGCTGTTCTACGTTACAAATACAATTTTATTGACATTTTCTATAATCACATATTTATTTTCTCGTCCAAATATTAAGTAGTTGGTGAATAACAGATAATATTATTTAATTAATTATACATAATTAGGTTGAAAGCTAGAAAAGTTGAACATAAAGAATACATTTAAAAATGGAATATAGAATTTTTAATATGAAACGTATGTTTATATATGTTTTCCTTTGTACAGGATATAACAATTAAAAGTTATTAATTATGATTATTTGAATATGATGTTCATGGATATCAATACTTCTTTGTAATCTTTTAGTGCTTTGATGATTGATAGACAAAAACCCTTGGACAGTGGTAATAATGGATATCCAGGGACAAGTTTTTCGTCTAAAAATTAAATATGACAAAAATAAATAATAGTATTATAATTTATACATGCAAAATAATAAATACTATTATTTGGTGTAAACTGTATCAATTATAACATATAATGAACTAATAATTGTTGAATTAATAGTTATTACCTTCAGTTAATTCTTTTTCAGACATTTTAATCCAATTTTCAATTGTACTGATTAAACTAAAAATATTGATAAATATGTCAATCTACAATTAAAATCATTATATTGCATAGTTAAAATATTCAAAAAACATACTTGGGACCATGTTTTTTTACGTGTTTCAGTATTTCTTCTTCAAAATACCCTGCATTTTTAACGTCTCTAAATGAAAAATAAAAAAAATTATAAAATAAATAATATTTATTATGATGATGTAGAAATAATGGGTATTCTCAAAGGGGGAGGGCTTTTTTAAAATCTCAAGTAACTAGCAAATTTAATATTGGAATGTCTTAAATCCACGCACTTACTGCATACCTAGTGGTGAATGATAATTGGTAATAATTTGTAAATTATTTTTAATTTGTTATTTTTTTTCTGAGTGTCAATCATTTGAAAAACTTATTATATTCAACATTGTTTTAAATTTTCAAACTGTTATTGCGAAACTAAGAATATTGCACGTAAAACTGCAAAACTGAAGGAGTTATAAATATCCTAAAGTGGCATTTATGTTATAATATTATGTTTATTCAATATCTCCCAATACATATAAATTATTTCAAATATTATAATATTATTGAGTATTCAATTTATTCTTCTTTACAGCAAATATAATGCAAATCTCCAATCAAAGAAACTATTTCCAATAAAATTAATTTAATGCAATACAGCCAGTTATAATCATGTTTTAATGCAGTAGTCAAAGGGTTGTTAATTCTGTTTTGTTATAACTTACGAATTATTCATGTTTAACATATTTGTCATTGACTGCACTACTTTGATCAGAGCCATTTCGTTGTAAACACGAGAGTTTTCTTTTGAAAGCTTTTGACCTTGCTGGGAATCAAATCCAGGTTCGTTATAATATGGTTCACTCACCAATATCAGTCCTGAAATGATTATAAAATATTAATATTAGAGTAAGTATAAAAATGCATTTTCACCACCTTGTATTGATACTAGAAGCTGTAATAAATTTGAATCATTAGGTGACCATAATTCAACACCACGACCCGACCAAGTACCCAAAAGACTAAGGCATACTTTTCCATCTTCGTATAAATTTGGATTCAACCGGTCGTCACAATAACTATAATAATGACAGAGTGGAGGTTGGATTGGATATGTGGGTGGAATTTTGATATCAAATAGAAACAAACCACCAGCATATGGTGTTTTTTCTGGTCCTCTAATCATTACAGAAAACAAATCCTAAAATAAAAAATAATTAAGGTACAAATAGAGAAATAATTATTATTTTATCAAATTCTTCTAACTATTATTCAAATAATAATAATACTTTAATAGGTATTGCTAAATTTAATTTAATTTTATATTCAAAAAAGTAATATATTATTAATTACCAAACGATTTTCAAAAGTTTTCACCCAAATTCCTGCCGGTAAACTTTTTTGAAGCATTTGGATGTCTTTGGCAATAACTTTTGATAACGATGGATTTAAATCATCTTTATCATTGATGTATTTGTGTGAATTATCAATAAGTGTTTCTACCACATCAAAAACTGTAAAATAAAGAAGATAAAATTAAAAACCTTTTCATTTTTTTGACTTCAGATTTTAATATAATATAAACTTTCAAAAAATGCCTACGGTCCTTTTCACATAAGCGCGCATCGTATGTGTGAGTACGAAATGCACAACTTTAGGTAAACATTGCTTAAGTTAATAAGCACCACTAAATGGGAAACAAAACATTATTGGGGTGGCACATAATATAAACTGAAACGCGTAGGTATAATACATGACAGTGTGAAACATGCTTAAAAGGACACCGAACAAGCATGAATTATCCCTACTATACAAACCTACATTTAAGGCTATTTTATTCTACTTAAAAAAATATTAGGGACTAAAACTTACCGCTATTGCTTATATTTGTATCATTTTCTATACACAATGAAATATTCAAAATATTTAGACTATTTTAAATTATTCATACCATGAATAATAGTTTCATATAATTCAGCAGTTAGATATATATTCAATTTATTTGAAAAACCATAGTTCAAACTAATGGATTAAGAAATTTTTAATAATATTATAAATCAAATATTAGACTTAGAATTAATATTCGATCTCTTAAGAGGTTGTCACACCCGCATGTGTTGTCTCCGTTTTACAAATGTACAACATAACAAAAACTGTTTTGAGATAGACAACTTTTATTTTTCTGTATTTCTAGTAGTGGCTCCAAAGTTTCTGAAAATATAGGGTGGAAAATTATCTATGCAACAGCCTGCCCATATTTTAAATAACATAATACAATAAAAGTTATTTGCTTCTAAAAATTTGATTTTGTTTGTTTTTTTTTTTTCATTTGCTTATAAAAATTGATTGGATAGTGATAATCAAAAAAAAGCACTCTGTGCACAGATAGAGTTCTTCTTTAAGTGTTGCGAACATTTGGTAGTTCTACAACAAATATGGTGCTAGAAAAATTGACCAGAGCAAAATGGTTTTTGCTATGTTGTACATTTGTAAGACGGAGACAACACATGCGGGTGTGAATTCCTCTAAGGGCCAGTTGTACCGTCTCTGATTAAAGTTAATCACAGTTTAATCAGCCAAATTTGGCCGGTTAAATATCTGTTATCAGCTGATTAAGCTTAATCATAGTTTAATCGTGGACGGTACAACTGGCCCTTAAACTTATAAATGTTTTATGTATACAACGGCGAATGATTTAATAAAATTTAACCTAAACTTTATGCCGTATACTCAAAACATTATTTAAAGCAGTTAAACTATTTGTTTTCATAAAATTATTTTTATATTTTACTAAAATTGATTTAAGATTTTTAATGTGAAATAATTTTTTGTGGAAATATATTATGTGAACATTCTTTTTCATAATATAATGTAATGTAAATTGAGAAGTGATTATCTTCTTCGATTCAAAAAAACATGTTTTAAGATTTATATGTAGTACATAAAAATGTTGGAATTTATAGTCTGTACAAACCTCCAACTTCTTCAGGTTTGGTCATACTTTGGTTATATTCTGGTTTGGTTACATCGTATACTGGTTCTGTATCCAATGTAATAAAACGACATTCAGCAGGATGTGGTTCAATTACTGGAAGTACAGATGCTGGCTCAGTTACATCCATTATTTCTAGACTATAGTCATCACTTTCATCTTTTGTATCACAATGTTTTATTATTTCATACTTAGAACGATATGATTCATTGAAAACATGATTAACTTTATTTATGAAATCTGACACAAACTGTTTTAGTGTAGTAAAACTGTCCTATAAATAAATAAGTAATTAGTGCTGGGTTGCTTGAAAAATTGTTTAATTTAATGCTTCAATGAAATTCAATGGACCAATTATAGACCACTAAATCATGTTTAAGGTTAGCTAGACTATTCATGGACTATTCATTAAATTTTTTGTGATTTTTCATGCAACATGGCATAAGTCTATGCAATATAAAATAAATAGTATGAACTTAAATGCTATTTCAATTATTTACTTTAATTAAAATTTCATATGACAGTTCTTCTTCTTCAACTAATTCTCTTTCTTCTCTCTCTTTAATATCTGTAAAAATATACATTTGATTATAAAATAAACTTAACATAGATCATATTATATTATCAAGAATGGATTTATTATTGATCATGTTATGTAAATATGCAACTTTTAAAAATCTGACTTATCATTAGAGAAAAGTTAGGAATATACAATACACAAACTATCTATTAATTACTTTGAAATAATTTAATTCTATGACAAAATTAATTGTATAGTAATAATGCTATCAATCTAGTTCTGTCAGCTAATTATGGCTCCATCTATATGGAGTGCAAGCTAAACAAACTAGCGGTTGGTGACTCCGTCCAACATGAGGCGTTCTACAGCTGGTACTACAAATTTATTTGGCGCTCTATAAATATAAGACCTATAGGAATGCGGTTTTTGTGTGTGAAAGTTACCCAAAATATACCCTATTGATTACTAGTGTCGGCTGGGGGCGGAGTCACCACAGCCAGTCTGTTTGGCATGGACTATAATATCATACACATATATATTATAAATCATGTTATCTATGAAATTAAAGACAAACAAATATAATACCTATTCTTGAGATTATTTTGTTTATTAATTTTGAGATGTTATCCATGAGATCCTTGTACCATGTTTCTATTTCTTTTTCATTTTCTTTACATTCTGAATTTGGTAAAAACGAACTGACGTTAAATCCTAACCTATGTATCAGTATACCATTTTTATATTTAAAATAAATTTAAAATCATTTGAATTTAATCGTCAAATTACCTATATTGTTCCAAAGTTTTTTTTAATTTAAGAACTTTATCTGTGTCACAATTTTGTTTAACAGCATCTAGAAATAACTTTAAATTCGTAACAGATTGCTCTAGTAATTGGACTAATAGACTTCCATATTTCCACTTATCGTGTACTTGGTTCCAGTTTATACTATTTAACATATACAAATAAAATATTAAAACAAATTTACTTGGAAAAATATAGCATTAAGAATATTTATTTAGAATATGAAACTTACGGTTAAATTCTGTGTTTAAATTACCTTATGCAATAAGATTGTAATGTTTTCATGGTTATTTAGGTCATTATAACTTAGCTAAATATAAGTTTAACTTACTTAGATGATCCCGGAATGGTTATAGACATTGAATCTTCAGATAAGAAATATACTACATCTTGAAAACTGAAGCCATCACCATGTAGTTGGAATTCTTGTGGCCTATTACAAATATACAAAGCACTCATCTTATCTGAGCTCGAATACAATTATTTTCTGTTCATAAAAGGTAAGGAATCAGCACTCAAAATGATAGATACCGTACAGAATACGGGCCTAAGACTAGTCACCGGAGCATATTGCTCAAGCATAATTCCTAGTGTCCTCAACATAGCTGGAGTTGAGCCACTCGATATTAGAAGGGTACACAGCACCATGTTACTTGCTAATAAGACACTTACAGTTAAATTGCGTGCTTAAATTATTTTATGCAATAAGATTGTAATGTTTTCATGGTTATTTAGGTCATTATAACTTAGCTAAATATAAATTTAACTTACTTAGATGATCCAGGAATGGTTATAGACATCCACTCTTCAGAGGCATCATATTTTACATCTTGAAAACTGAAGCCATCATGTACTTGGACAGCAAATAATTCTTGTGGCCAACATTTCGTTTTTTCACCATTAACCCACACCACTAAGATCTAAACAATTAAAACAGTACACAAATAATAATGTTAACAATTTATGCAATTATATTATTATTTAATGAATTGTATAAAAAAATTACCCTGCCATCAGGCCCTGCACTTAATACTTGCCCAGCATTTAAGGTATTTAAATCTGGGTTTGTATCAGAACTAATATGTATAATTAAACAACCAGATTTGAAATGGAAATCCGGATGATCACGTAAGTCATATACACTAAAATAAGTCTTTTCAATAGGATTTGGCCTAAAAATCAGTTATAATAGATTCAGTAATGGTTTTAAGAAATATTAACACAGTAAATTCATACAATGATGGATTTTCAGGATAAACTTTAAACCATTGTATATGAGCAGTGCGTTCTGCATGGTCCACAGATTCTACAACACCATAAACGTCAGATGAAGTACTTTTTTCAGTAACAAAATCACCAGGAAAAAACTCATGATTATCAAGAGTTTGTACTGGGTAGAGATCAGTGGAAGAAACTCCAGTTTCTTTAGTACCATCCTATAAAACAAATAGCTTTAATATAAACTAAAATATACTGAATGTTATATTATATAAATATTAAATAAACTAAGTATTTTAAATGATCCTAATTCCTCCTTTATGACTTTAGTAATGTTCTGCAGTTTATTTTCCATATGTTGTGCTCCAGGCACTTTTTACATTATATTCTGTGCTTTTGTGATAAGTTACTAATGATTTGGTATTAATTATAGTTGAGAACCTCCAAGTAAAGATCATGCAAACCAAAAACTGAATTTGGTCAGTTGTTGGTATATTCTTATTTAGATTTTAAAGTAGGTATAAAAATATATTCAAATACATACCTGCCATATAACATCTACCATAGATTTTGTGAAGCAAATCTCAACTACAACTTTGGAATTTGGTTTGGTTTTTACTTTAGGTATATTGAATTGTTTACTTTTTTTAATTAATGATCCCAACATACGGTTCCTCTTTAATCTGTTCGATTTTAACGTATATACACAACTATTTCCTAAAGAATATATCAGGAATTTAATTCAATTTTATAAAATAGTTTAGTATAATATATATTATAATATATAATACATTTGTATAATAGATAACACAGAAAGGCTTTTTGTAACATGTAAACATTATTTTTACAATTTATTCAGACAATGATTGTTTATTTTATGTGTTCTTAAAGTGATGTATCTTTTGGGTTCCAAACCCCATTGCATACCTATTACATAATGCATATTATATTTAAAGATCCAGTTTGGCAGTATACTATTATTCTTATTACATAAAATACAACCCAGAAACTAATTAATATTTTTTTAAATACTGTTTACATTTTAAACACAATAACATGTGAGTATTCTAACATTTGTAAACTGAAAAAATAGAAATTTTATCATGAAAAAAAAATGTTTAAACCACTTAACAGTTTTAAGAGTTGTCAAAAACCCAAGAATTAAAAAAAAAAAGTTGGGCAAGTGAGTGTTCCTCTGCTGTTCAGTAGGTTACAAGTGGGTCACTGAAATGGATTGTGTTAAATTTGATTTCAATGATATAATATCATTAAATAAGAAAAACGACTCTGAGCGAATATGGACAGTCAGCCTATTATATTACTAAGAATATTTGATGATATTATTTTTAATTAAGTAAATTATACATATCCTATTTACGTGGAACAATGTTTTAAATTTACAATCATTAAATATAAAAGTTGAAAATTTTATACATAAATAAATATAAAGTTTTAAATTTGATAATGTTTTTCGAAATCGAACTATAAATGCTATGTATTTTTTATATTTTTTAACTGCTAAAGTAACAATATATCAGGAGCCTTATATTAAATTTTCACTGTTTTTGCCCAACAAATAAAATTGTATTCACAAATAATATAGAAAAATAACTAAAAAATTGGAAAACTGACAATGCTCGTAAACAGCTCAAAAAGAGTCAAAATATTATCAAAATTTGATAGTGTATATAAAATGAAAATATAAACATTCAGTAAAATTTTCTTGTATCTACAGTTATTCGTTTTTGAACAAAAATAACAAAACCACTACAAGAGAAATTGAGTGAATATTCAATCTTGTCAAAATATGAACTTCAAACGCTCATAAAAATTTAATTTGATTTGATTGTAGACTTTTTTTTCATAAAGGTAGACAAAGTTAATAAGTATATATTATTATAAGAATATGAGGAATCTTGTATAACATTTTCAAATCTTAGATTTAAATAGAAATTTATGTATGTATTACTAACTCAAAATAATTTGCACATCTACGTGAATTTTATATATTTTGTTAATATTTGAACTTTAAATGCTTATAAAAAAAAATTGTGGCTAAGGATTTTTAATATTTTTCATCTGTCTTTGAAACAATATATTAGGAGTCTTACAAGCATACGTGATAAAACATCACTATTTAGACAAATATAATTTAAAATTATAATATTTTTATTATTTTACCGGTTGTGCTTCTAGATGGTTTAGATTCACATTTTTTGGATAGTAATGTAAATTTATATTCCTCATTTAATATTCTTTCATTTATTTGTCTTGCAACAGCTGAAGCGTGTCTATTAGATCCATTTTGTGCACCTATAAAACAATATTGAATAGCATATTATTTTTTCTGATATTTACTCTATATTAAATCAGTGGCATATTTAAGGGGAGCAATAGGGGCATTTGTTAAATGAGTTTCATTACTTATGCCTACTAGCTTTACAACATAGCTCTTATTCTAACACCTCTAGCTGCATATATTCATTTAAGCAATATTTTACTTTAAATTTTAAGTCTATAAAAACATAACAAAGTTATATAACAACATATTACTGATAATTTTTAGGGACAATTTGAATTAATAATTCATAATATAATTTTCTCATCTGCTATAACTGACCAATTGCACACTTATGTAAAAATAGTGACTTGCTTATTTGCTTATGCATCATAATTTAATTGTTTTGTAATGCTTTGCTTTTTCAACTTAGGTTAAAAAATTGATTGCGGTCGAGTATGGGACAAGATCGCTTAGTTCGATTGGCTTTACTAAATATTAATAGACACCGGGACATTCAAATAGATGAGGTCATTGATATGTTTGCTGCCACAAAAAAAAGAAATATATTCCTTATATTATAAAAATGTTGACTACCTATGACTAGACATTATTATTATGTTCAAATTTAAACTTTTGAGTAATAAATAAGGTGCTTTTATTGTGTTGAATTTATATTTAACTGAACAAGTTTAAACCAGTGTCTAAAACTCTAACCAAATAAAAAAAAAAATTAACTATTATATTCAAATGTAATTATATTTTAACAGCTGAGAGATTTTCTTATTTCCCCCCCCCCCCCTGAAAGATTATCTCAAATATGCCACTATATTGCGTAATGAGATTGTTTTAGAAAAAATATAATTCATTGTTTAGTTAATACATTTTAATTGACAGAGTAATTTTATTTGAAAGTAGAGAAACTGATAATAAGTACAGATTAAAGTTAGTTAGATTGCATTAGTTGAGATTTCTTCAATTAAATTGACTTTTATTTAAAAAATATTATGGTAAAGTAATGAAAATATCAAAATAATATTTGTACCTACTTCCCTTAATTTAATTATTTTTAACGATGACTGATGTTATCATATGCACCATTTTATTATTGAACATTAAAAAAAAAAATGAGGGATATATCCTCCCCCCCCCCCTTAGTTTCACGACCAGTAGTTTGATCTTATTTTTCTGTACGGCTGCCATTACATATAACCAGAAATTGATTGAATTTTGCCCCTTAAGAAATACCTTAAATATCTTATCAAATATAAACTAAAAACTGTCATTAAAATAAAAAAATAAACAATGTCATTACATAAATTTAATATACCTTATATACATACTTAATAATAAGTCATCCAACTCAATAGGAAGTGAACTCTTTGATGGTTTTATGGTACCTAAATGTTTGTTGTGGTGCTTATCTTTATTAGTTTTACTGTGTATTGAACCTGATCCAATATTAAAAGCTTCTGTACATTTAGATCTCCACTGTTTCATTGTCATCAAATAATCGGTATCTTTAATTGTATACCAATGTGTATCTCCCACTTGAATTGTACACGACTCAAATAGATCAATAGTTTTTAGTCTAAAAATATAAAAACAGTTCAAATATTCCATAATAAAATAAATTATATGAAACTATTTATTTGCATTTATGTATAATAATATCCACATTGCAATACCATGTTATGCACATTCATTTTTTGAACATAACATTTAAATATAGTGTACAATTTTATGTTCACTTTATTTATTACAATATTAAAAAAATAATGATATTACATAATTACTGCGATTACAAAAACGAAATAATTCTGAACCAAACTTTTTAAAATTAAGCTAACTAGAATTTAAAAAGGTAAACAGTTTCTCTTTCCACCAAGTGTTGATAAAATGTTCGTCATAACAGACATTTATTATTATACTTACAATTTAATAAATATAAATTATTGTATAAATAAAAAAATTTATTGGCAAAATTTTAATAGTCATATTTCTTGTGATTTTTTAAATAAAAGTCAATATTGAGTGTTTTATGGTCTTAAAGATATAATAGTAACATGAGTAATGAAAGATGGACAGTGGAGAATGGAGAAAGTGCCGCCACAGTACATGTTCAATTAATACAAATTAGAAAACTATTGATAACTGATCAGAATGTGTTAGTTAATTTAATATTACCAAATCTATATTCTAACTCTACGAGTACGAGGCTTAGGTCAACCGACATATAACAAGGGTATATATAAAATAACTTGGTATTTATGTGGGATTTCAGCACTAGATGTCGCCCTGGTGCGTAGAGTGTGTGTGGTACGAGCAGTAAGAGTAGAGTACTAGAGTCTGTGTTGTACTGTTGTTGGAAAAGTGCGTGTGCATTGTGCTGTGATGTAATTTTTCTGTTGTAGTTAATAATCTGTTAAGTGTGTTATACGAATAAAATAATAAAGTAATGATATCAAATAAACGCGCTATATTTATTTACTGTTAATCGGTCACCCCAAATCCCACATAAACTTTGGGGGCCTGTCCGGGATCGGGGTCGTGACTGTGACACTCGTAATTTAATACTATATACAATAGTCGCGCCACGTTGTGAATTTGGAATAAGGAATTTGTAAAGTTGTGATCCGTAAGTACTAATTTTGTGTCTTTAAAGAAGGAAAATCGAGTTAGCCGGTTGTCTGTCACGAGGTTTGAAATTTCTAACGTAAATTCGTTACGTAACTATCATAACCTCAGTTACCAGTTACCACTCTACGAAATTCGGTATTTGACAGCTGCAGCTGGCATCATTGCGTAACTGGTGATAACAACGTCGTTCCGAAGTTCCATCGATAAATATTTGTGTGATTAGAATTGATAAGCATGCCTAGACTCAAGGCAAAAAAGAGGCAGTCAACGTCAAGTGGATTTCAAGGGAATGATGATACGGTGATTAACGAAAGCGCCGGAAGCTCAAGAACGATAAACTTTCGTGATGTGCAAGAATCACTGTACCCCTTCAGTGGCGACGATTCATACTCCGTCGAGAAATGGGTCGCGGACGTTGAAGAAATGGCCGAGGTCTGTGGATGGACCAGTCTCGAAATATTCATTTACGGTAAGCGCCTACTTCAAGGAACTGCAATGTTGTTTATCCGCGCCGAGTGTGGTATTAAGTCCTGGGAAACATTGCGAGATCGTCTGAGAGATGAATTTAGAAACAGATTGACGGCTGCTGATGTGCATAGACAACTAGCTGCACAAACTAGGCAAGAAGGTGAGACGCTTATGCAATTTTTGTACCGAATGAGAGAACTGGCTATGCAGGGTTCGGTGCAAGACGATTCCCTAATTGATTATGTTATATCTGGCATTCAAGATTCCGAAGTGAATAAGACTGTACTCTATGGGGCCACCAACATCGTAGAGTTTAAGCGGAAATTAGAGGTATATGGTGTGATAAACCAGCGAATATTGGTTGAAGCTAAGAATAATATTAAACCACATGGACGCCGTTCCGAGCCGTATAATCAGCTTAGACCTTCACAGCCAGTTGATAAGTCTTTACTGCGCTGCTATACGTGTGGGGTCAAGGGACATCTGTCTCCAGACTGCCCAGATGCAGCTAAGGGCATCAAATGTTTTGCCTGCCAGTCGCATGGACATCGAGCAGCCGATTGCCCAAATGCAGGTCGGCGAAATGAGGACGGGCCACAGATGTATCAAGTTAATAGTTTGCCAGCTGATAACCGAATTTTTAAGTTGGTCAAAGTCCAGGGTGTGGATACAGCCGCGCTGATAGATACTGGTTGTGATATGAATATCTGTCGCCGTTCATTCATGATGTTGTTATCTCAAGAATCAGCAGTATCTGCCAAAGTCAGGTTGAGTGGACCAGCTGGTTCCTCATTTTACACCGAAAAAATGTGTGCTGTAGATTTGTCCGTGGATGGAAATACGTATCACATAGACTTATATTCTGTGTCGGATGATGATATTTTGTGTGACTTGATTATAGGGAGACATCTATTCCAAACGAAGGCTGAGTTGCGTGTTGGACCTAAGTTAATCGAGATATCCAGGGTACCTGAACAAAGAATAATGGCCATCGAGACCTGTATGGACGAATTGGATGTGGGGCACCGGCAGTCACTGCCCACTATTCAGAGAGTTGTCGACTCGTATAAACCAGTGGCCGTAAGGTCGGCACCCATTAAGACAAGCATAATACTCAGTGATGACCAGCCTGTGTACCAACGGCCAAGGAGACTGGCCCCAAAAGAAAAAGCTGCTGTAGATGAACAAGTTGATGAATGGCTGCGAGAAGGGATCATACGCCCAAGTTGTTCCGACTATGCGAGTCCTGTGGTGTTGGTCTCAAAGAAAGATGGGACGATGCGTTTGTGTATTGATTACCGGTTGCTTAATAAGAAAGTCATCAGAGACAGGTATCCGCTGCCCCTAATTGAAGACCAAATTGATCGACTGCGGGATGCAGCTGTGTTTAGTGTTCTGGACCTCCGTAATGGATTTTTTCACGTGCCAGTCGAAGAGGGGAGTGTAAAGTATACTTCCTTCGTCACACCTAATGGTCAATTCGAGTTCCTTCGCACACCATTTGGTCTGTGCACCGCCCCTTCAGTGTTTCAAAGATTTATTAACTTTGTTTTCAGAGACTTGATCAAGGCTGGATATGTCATGGCATACATGGATGATCTGATAGTTGTGGCCAACAGTATACCCCAGGGTATTGAACGATTGGAAGAAGTCCTAAAAGCTGCTCAAGAGTACGGACTAGAAATAAAGTGGTCCAAATGCCAATTCCTGAAGGAGTCTATCGAATACCTTGGGTATCGCATTCGACACAACTCCATCCGTCCGTCAGAGGCAAAAGTATCGGCTGTTCGACATTTCCCCATACCACACAATGTCAAGAGTGTACAGAGTTTCCTAGGCTTAACTGGGTATTTTCGCAAATTTATACTTGCATATTCTAATGTGGCTAAGCCCTTGAGTGATTTGCTTAAGCAGGGAGCTTGTTTCGAGTTTGGACATAAGCAGGAAGCAGCTGTATTAGAATTAAAGAAGCGTTTAACCAGTGAACCCGTATTAACTATTTTCAATCCAGCTGCAGAAGCCATTGAATTACATACTGATGCCAGTCAATGGGGCTTCGGGGCAGTGTTGTTACAATTGGAAAACGATGGCGAGCTCCACCCAGTTTATTTTATGAGCAAAAAAACAACTGATCCACAACAGAAGTACCACAGCTACGAGCTGGAGGTGTTGGCCATTGTAGAGGCAATAAAGAAGTTCAGGTCATATCTCCTTGGGTTGCAATTCAAAATAGTGACAGATTGTGCAGCTTTCACGAAGACACTGGAGAAAAAAGAACTAGCCACTCGGGTGGCTAGGTGGGCATTGTTACTATCTGAATATGACTATAAAATAGAACACCGGGCCGGGTCAAGGATGCCCCATGTGGATTCCTTGAGCCGGTATCCTGTGTGTATGGCTATAAAAAGTGAGCTATTAGCAAGGTTAGTGAGCGCTCAAGAGGCTGACCCTGAACTGTCAACATTAAAGTTAGAGTCACAGCGGGACAACAGAGATGATTTCAGTGTGGAAGGTGGATTACTTTATGAACTAAAAGGTAGTAAAAAGTTATTAGTTGTACCTAGGGCCATGTGTCGGGAGATTATTCAAGATATCCATAAAATAGGACACTTAGGTGTTAAAAGGACTGAAGAGCTGCTTAGTCAGGAATATTCCATAGCTGATGTCTCTAACAAGATTAAAGAAGTTATAAGAAATTGTGTACCATGTATACTGATGAATCGGAAACAGGGAAAGCAGGAGGGACTCCTAAAGTGTATTGATAAAGGGGAATCGCCGTTGTCGACTTGGCATCTGGACTTCATGGGACCATTGACTAGGACCGCCAAGGGTTATAATCATATTCTTGCCGTTGTGGACGCTTTTACTAAGTTTTGCTGGCTCTTTTCAACTAAAAGCACCACCGCATATGAAGTTATAACAAAATTGACTACATTGGAAACCACATTTGGTAACCCAGAACGAATAGTGACGGATCGAGGTGCAGCTTTCACTTCATTGAGCTTTGAGAGTTATTGTGAAGACCGAGGAATCCGTCATGTACTCATAACGGCAGGTATGCCACGTGGAAATGGGCAAGTTGAGCGTTTGAATGCTACTATTGCTAACATCTTAGAGAAATTGAGCATTGATAATCCTGATAGATGGTGGCAGTATCTACATCGGGTCCAAATGGCGTTGAACAGTTCATTCCAGAGAAGTATTGGGATGACACCTTTTCAGCTAACATTTGGAGTTGAGATGAAGCATCCAGAGAATGTACAATTTAGGAAAATAGTGGAGCAAGAATATGTGCAATGCCATGTAGAACAACATCAAGAAGTGATACGGGAGGCCAAGAGCAATATATTAAAGGCACAATTAGAACAGCAAAAGACATACAACAAAAAAAGAAAAGAAGCGACACAGTATGGGCCAGGTGATTTGGTAGCTATTAAACGAACCCAATTCCTGCCTACTTCAAAGTTATGTCCTAAATATCTGGGTCCATACTGCGTAACCAGGCGCGCCGGACCCAACAGATATGATGTAAGGAAAATAGGCACTGGGGAAGGCCCAGTGAAGACTTCAACGGGCTCAGATTATATGAAGAAGTGGAAGGAGAATCCCAAAGAAGATGAGTTGTCATCCGAGATGGATGTCATTCAAGAAGATGAGTTGTCATCCGAGATGGATGTCATTCAAGAAGATGAGTTGTCATCCGAGGCGGATGTCATTAAAGAAGGGGAGAATGTGGGATTTCAGCACTAGATGTCGCCCTGGTGCGTAGAGTGTGTGTGGTACGAGCAGTAAGAGTAGAGTACTAGAGTCTGTGTTGTACTGTTGTTGGAAAAGTGCGTGTGCATTGTGCTGTGATGTAATTTTTCTGTTGTAGTTAATAATCTGTTAAGTGTGTTATACGAATAAAATAATAAAGTAATGATATCAAATAAACGCGCTATATTTATTTACTGTTAATCGGTCACCCCAAATCCCACATTTATCTTGTTCGTATAACATTAATATTAATTTTTCTTTTGTATTTACTTTTTCAAATTATCACCAGTAAATAATCTCCCTGGCCAATATTCTTCACACGGCTTTGTTCTACTTGATGTTTGGCTGTACCATTGAACTTCAACTGATGATACAATAACATCTTGAACATAAACTTTGACCCACTAAAAATATGTATGGTACATATAGTACGATGGGATCAAAACTAATTTATATAATTACTTTATTTAATTACCTTGGACCCAAATTTATTGCTGATATTCTTCTTATAATTGTGCCATAGACATTTCATTAGGTTACTGATCGTTAAAAATGTTGCATTCTCTAAGGAATCTAGACACATTTTTAATTTTAGCCCATGATAAAATACATTGTCATCAATGGAAAAATTCTAAAATTTTAAAACATTAGAATTAAAAAAAATTTGACAAGCTATTTTAAAAATGGTAATAAATATGGCTCGGATTTAATAACAAAAAAAGCGTAAAATTGTTTGAAAAAAGCGAAAAAGTATGAAAAACAATTAACATAAACTAGGTATAAAATTGAATAAAAAATTGTTAATTAATTTTAATTAAAAAAAGAATTAACTTCCATGTATTGTCTTAGATGTTTGCAACGAAAACAATAATAATCCAATAACCATTAAGTCTGTATTTCGGGTGTCAACATTTCTTATTAATGAAATTAAAATTGTTTTATTACTTTAGCATAATAATCATATTAAAATGCCATAGCTTTAATATTTGCAAACAACCAATAGAAAAGCAAAAACAGTATTTACGTAGAAAAAAGATAAAATAAATTAGTTTATTCGGAATAAGAATGTCATAAAACAAATGTAAGGTTGAAAATTAGATTTCTATATCATATAAAAAAAATAAGCATAGTATGCTTTAAAATCAGAGCCCTAGTAATAAATAATACAGTTAATAAACAATAAAAGGAAATGTATAAAAAATATTTTTTTTTTAGAATAGTTATTCTGCAAATTCGTATTTTCCTATATTAGAATAATTAATATAAAAGTTGACTTACATGACTTGTAGATAGACTTATGAAGCCTCTTCTATGCGGGTCCTCTAATGTAAAAATCGATCCATCTTGTGAAACAAATGTAACTTTACGTTTGACATCATAAACTCTACCAACCCATGATTCATAAAAAACCAAGGAATTAATTGCGAATGGCTATAAATAAAATATTATTATAACAAATAAAACTTCTAAAATTTGTAGCAATAAATTAACTAAAAACTATCAACATAACATTTGATATCAATAAAAAGAAAATTTTATTTCCATTTTCGAAAATACCTATATAAGATGTGCATCATACATACTTTATAACATTTGATTTGACACTAATAGAATACAAATTACATATATAACAATATCATTGTGTGTATGTATATCGTTGCGATTTTTCAGATATTGTATCTTGATATCGTAAGCTATTGTAAGTTGTACGATATCGCAATCGTATCGAAAATAATTTTAATTATTTTAAATATTAACATCTTTGTAATCGTTAGTTATAACTTATTAAAATGAATAATTATTATAAATACTGAATTAATAATTATTATTTCTTAATTCAAAAATTTGCTTTACATGGCTAATTGAAGATAAGAAAAAAAACTTGTTACAATATTTCCTGATATAAAATTGGATATAATGTCAATATCAAAAATGTATTACAATATGTTGCCCATCACTTGTAAGTATAGCTGCCTAATATTTAAAATATTAAATATGTACATACTTTTGTGGGAGTAAAGTTTCGGGAATTGATATTTTCTATTATTTTGTTGGTATTCAGTATTTTCAATGTGGCATATATATCAATATTTTCACAATGTCCAAATTGACTTGGCTTGCCTTCACTAACTTTTCGTACTACATCACCTGGCATAAATGATCGATCCATTAACACAACCTAGGAAATTAAAAAACAATTAAGGATCTAGTTTCAAAACATTTAAATTGTCGATATATGGGTAATATACTTCATCATCAGAGATAATTTCTTCATCACCATTTGGATGCCAGATTACTTTGATCTCTTTATGATTCTTATACGAAGTATTTTTTAACTCGGTTTCGGGCCGCATTGTGTTCGTCGTTAAAACCAAACCATACTTTACCAGGCCAGTATTTGAAGACACCCTGGCCACTTCATCATCGTTAAAGAACTTTTCATTATCTTTCTCCATTATTTTATTGCACCTTATAATACGTAAATAAAAGGAGATCGGGTGAAAATACCTGCACTAGCTTACATCAAAGCACAATGCATGTTATTGTTTTTATACAATGAAAGTTGGAAACATGCGATTTAATTATTTAAATTTATAGAAATTCCTAATTGTCAGTGAAAAAAACGTGTTCTGTTCGAAAATCTAAATAATTCATAAAGAAATACTGATACACGTAATTATTATTTTTTTAAGTGACGCAATGAGTTATCATATGGTAAAATTGATTTTACATTCTCAACCAATCATATCAAACTACAAGGACATTAGATATTATTTGTTGTCAACATAATATTTTTGGCGCTCATTTTGAAAAAAAATATTTTGGACCGATAAATATATTGATTTTACAATGTTTTTTTATTTCTTGTGAGTCATTTTAGAGGAATAAAGATTCTTCGATTTTCTACTTCAGAATTTTTCCAAGATGGAAAATTAAATCTAGTTGGTAAATTGGGAAAATGGACATTTCCCCAGGGACATTTTTTCCCCATACAGTTTTCGGTCTAGTGGGACATTTCCCCCCCCCCATTTTTTTAAAGTTTAATATTGACTAATAATATTGAATTTCATAATACAATATTATTTATTATTTAATATAAAATTATTTTGTTTTATTAAAATATAAAATATATAACAATTTTTTTATTTTCGTAAATATAATAGATTATAAATGTATATGTTTGATCCACGATCCACTGAACTACTTAAAACATGACAAATTTAAAATTAAATAAAATTAATAATTAACAATGGTGGCTAAAAATTCCAACATAAAAATGATACATTTTGTAAAAAAACATTTGATTATTCTTTTGTTATTAGTCGAAACACATATTATTCTTAATATTATTTTTTTTTTTGTTAAAATATAATCAGTTTGTATATTTATCAATTTAATAATTGCTTCTGAATTTGATCAGTTGATCAAAAATATACATCTATAATTCATTATATTTATGAAAATATTTGAAAATATTAGACAATAGGCAAAATAATAATTTCATATTAAATAGTAAAATAATAAATAAATTGTGAATAAAAAACAAATAAAGGAAAAATGGAAATTTTTAAGCGACAAAATCAATTTTGTTTCTTCGAAGTAACTTAAAAACGAAAAACCGTATATACGTTCACCAAATGTTTATATGGAAATTTTCCCTTTATAAGATTTTCATAATATCTTGACTCTTTTTAAGATATTTATAAGCATGAGAAGTTATCAAATATTTTAACCTTAGATGGGGTCAATAAATAATTATTTGCTCGGTTAAAAACCTTGAATATTAAATACAACTACACAATTTGTCAAAGTCCCTCATAAGTTGTTACCAGTTGTTATTTAAAAAAAAAAGTTGAGCATTAGTTCAAATTTTCATTACAATTTTTTATGAGTACCTGAAAATCGAATTTTGATGAAATTCGTCAAAATCCAGAAATGTGCAAGTTTGTTTGTTAGAAAATCATAGTTTTTTATTGTGAAATGCAATAAGATTCCTTTACAAGTTTTTAACATTTGAAAAAAAGTATTTAAGTGAGAATATTCTAATAAATTTTTTGAGATTTTATGATTTCAAATTTTTATGACATTGGATTTCACCTTTACATTAACCATATTTTTTTTATTTTGTAGTATCTCAAAATCAAAAAAACAGTAGTTATTTTCAACAGATGTTTTTAAGACCATCTTCATGATAAGATTTTAACTCTTTAAATATTATGTCAACAAAATTGTTTATACCTTCTCAAGTGATGTGAGGATCACCAGTACTGTATTACATATATAATTTAATGTGCAGTTCATTTTTTAATTTCCAAATACTTATAAGTTCAGCGTCATATAAATACTTCAATTAAGACATTATAGATGTGGTAAAATAATATTTACAGGTATACAGTGGCGCCGAACTCATATATCATGTGAAGCGATCACTTCACTTCTTAATGGGTGGGTGGGTAGGTGGGTATAGGTAAGTTCTAGGTAGTAGTGGTTAATGGGTAAACAAAGTTACATAAGGTGTCCTGTGTTCAGAAGTTTTAAGTTTAAGTGGGTGGGTGGGTGGATAAAAATTTCTAGATTTCGCTTCACAAAAAAATTCTGAGTTCGGTGCCACTGCAGGTATACATCAAATATTCAAATATCCATCTACAAAGGTATGTCATACATATAAATATATGTATTAAAATAATTTTGTTGAACACACTGACTGCCTAAACGCTCGTGGTCATCGGCAACTCTCAAAATTTATACTTCTGTGACCGCCAGTGCCCATAGTTGAGCATTACTACCAGAACTCATCACCGTAAATTAATATGCTTTTAAATTATTAACTTTTCAATGGTGCTACAATAAGATACTAAAAAGAGCGTGGGGTAAAGTGATATTATTAAACATTTTTTGATGTAATATTTTTTTAAATTCCTTTTCAAATACAGTACTATATACAAATTTGTAATGATGAAAAATATGTATGGCATACCGATAGTACATATCGAGAGACCACGGCAGTCAACGTGTTAAGTAGTTAATAAGTTTGTTGATTTTATTACATTATTATAATGGCATACTCAATTTTATTATTTCTAAGTATATAATATTTTATCTTACAGACATTTTCAACAGAATGTAATTAATGAACTAATACAATCTTACACTTTAATAATATCAGTATGACTTAATAAAAAAATTATTTTTAGTGTCTATTTACATTTTACATACTAGTCGAAACCATAAATAAACAAATGTTTAAATTGTGTTATTTAAATAGGGATAGGTAAGTCTTTTGCAACCAACATTAAAACATTTTCAGTAGTAAGTCTCCAGTTATCAATGTTTTTTGATACAATACACCATGCTTCACCATGATGAGGTTCTGCTGCAATACACCTCTTTTTAATATCTACTTGTACTTCTTCCGTTCCATGTAATACTTCAAATCTATAGAAATATGCCCAAGCATCCCCAAAGTCTGGATCAATTTTAACAGTTCTATTAAACCATTCACGGCATTTTTGTAATTTACGTTCACTCCAAAATAACTTTGAGACAGCTAAAAGTACATTAACATCATGTTCACATTTTTTTAAAGCATCCACACTTTTAGTTTTTCGTTGCGGTCTTGCTTCCAAGAATATAGCTTCCGACCATAATATTCCAGCATTTGGACATTCTTGTAGTGCTTTGGCCATCATTGTATTTGCTATATCTCTCATACCTGCTCGAAATTCTATACGTATAGCTTCCAACCACAGTTCTGGATTATGTGGATTTTTCAAACGACCTTTTTCCAATACTGATCTTGCTTTGGTTAGCATTTTTCTTCTCTCATCTAATCTGGCTAACCATATCCATAAAGGAATAGAACTGGGACATTTCTTTAGTGCAGAATTAAAAGTTTCATGTGCTCTGTCTACATCTCCTTGTTGTTCTTCAATCTGACCTTTCATTAACCACAATTTAGCATAATCTGGAAACTTAACAAGAGCTTCCTCGAGGATTTGTAAAGCTGTATCTAAATTGTTCAAACACCATTCAAGTTTAGCAGACTTCATCATTACTCTTGGAGTTGGTGCCGAAGCTCTGGCTTTAGACAATAAACGTCTTGCACGGTCAAATTCTGAATTCTCAGACTCTAATTTTACAGCAGCAAGCCAAATTTCTTCTGAATTTGGGTTCGCTTGAAATGCTAGAGATAAAATACCACGAGCAGCTGGTACATCACCAGCTAACCATTTTGATTTTGCTCCCATCAACCATAATACTTCAGATTTTGGACAATGAGCAACAGCTTTTTGTAATAACGTTTCTAAAGAATCTCTTGTACCATGATTTTTTTCAAAATAAGCAGCTCTCAACCAAATGGACTTTTTACTCGGAAAAGCAGCTAAAGAATGAGAGAAAATTGCTCTTGCACACTCATAAGCTAATTGACTAGCACAGGAGTCAGCATCTTCCATCCAAGTGTGTTTACGGTCTTCGTCTTCTATTCCATATCCAATTATAGCTTTAATAAGAGCTTGACATGTTTTGACCGAACCACATTTTTCCGCTTCTATTGCTTCTTTAATCCATTGTTCTCTGTTAATTTCGACTCCATTAGCACTTAAAGAAGATATAGCGCGATCTATGATTTTTTCAACCATATTTATATTACCGTTAGCTTCTTCTAATTTAGCAGCAGTTGTCCAAATTTGTCTATCAGTAGGAATATTTTCACGAGCTTTATTTAACACTTTACGTGCATTTTCATAAGTTTCTAATCGAGCCAAAGCTAGCCATAGGTCAACACTAGTCGGGCAACATTCAACAGCACGACTTAATAAAATTCGAGCATCTTCTGGATCTTCCAACTCAATAGCAGCTTTCCATAATCTAACTGAATTTGGAATATGTTCTAAAGCTTTTCTGTAGACTTTTCTTTTACCTTTAGTTTCAGATTCTAAGTCAGCAGCTTTAATCCAAATACGAACTGATGTTGGAATATGCCTAACTGCTTGGGCGATAACAGCTTTGGCAGTTTCTGGAGGTTGTAAACGAGCAGCTTCAAGCCAAAGATCTTCAGATTTTGGATTATCTTCACAACCTTTCATGATAACGTTACGAGCAGCTTGAATTTTTCCTGTTACTTCCTCAAGACGAGCTGATGCTATCCAAGCTGGTGGATGATTAGGATTTGTTTCTCGTACAGACTTTAACAATAATCTAGCTTTTTTTATATCATTGATATCTCCCCCATATGTTGGAATCATACTATGTAAATCAGTCAAATAGCCTTTAGGATCAACCACAGTTTGTCCTTCAACAGAGTCTGATACTTGGTTAAGTTTTACATTCATTAAAGTATTACGAGCTTGTCCCATTTTTCTTAAATCTAAGTCTCCAGACGGAGTTAACATTCCAGGTGTAACTGTACCATGTGGATATTGACTCATAAGACCACTTGCTGAATCAATAGAAGAAGTACTTTCACCACCAAGACTTCGTGATAGTACAGTGTCCGGTAGTGGAGTAAATTTTTCAGCTCTAGGGTTCCTTTGTTTGCGATTTCTAGCATCACCAACTTCTGGAATATTGCGCCATTCGTCTTCACTAACCATAGTCAATCTAAAAAGTAATACATTTTTAGAAAATACAGTATTTAAAATATATTATAATGTGATGCATAGTATCTGAAGAATTTAACCAAAAAAAACATAAAATTGTTTTATTTGAGAATATATACCTAATGTAATTTAATATTTTAAAACAAATTAATAATACCATTGGTTATGAATACTAGTAAACTATATAATTCAATATTAATACTAGTATTCATAATTAATGATAATACTCACCCTTTAAAATATTATCTTTATTATATTATCGCACGTAATTGTATCTAGTACGGGAATTTAAATATTAATTTTATAGTAACTACTGGAATATTTAGTCCAAAAAAATATTCCTTAAACTATTGGTAGATGATATGTGAGTTCTTAAATTGTTTTGGAACTGCAAAATAATTATATATACCTATTACCTATATAAATATATATTCATTTACCCTCTTTTCAAGTCACTGAATTGTTGTTGAATCTTTGGTCGTTCTTGTCGATACTTTTCTAATTCTTCTTTTAATCGTTTCTCTCTGTATTCCTTACGTTTTTCGTCCATTCGTTTATCAATTTCTTCATAAATCATATCTGCTTCTTCATCATCTTTGTCGTATGGATCCTTACTGAACAATGAACCACCATAACCACTGAATTCATCATAGTTAGAATCATTCAAATCCTCATCATCGTCTTCTTCTTCATCTTTTTTTTTCTTTTTTGTGGGTGGTGCATGGCGATCGTCGGAAACATCATTGGCATCTCGCGCTGGACCAATATCAGATCGTGTTGTAAATCCTGTTGCACCTCGACCAACACCAGCGACATATCCAAGAGGCGCAGGAATACCTATGAAATGTTTTTTTACCTTAGCCACTAAGGCGGCTGGCGGAGCAGCCATTGTCGTAATTGAATGGGTAAGTCGTAAGTTCAAGTTTTAGTCTTAATTCTTAAACCATGATAGACAGTCGCATACACATTAGTACATTACACTATACTCGTATCAACAACAACTATCAATCATATAGTAGGTATTGTTGTTGTTGATAAAATAAAGCAAGTACCAACCACAATATACCACAGATATAAGCTATGGTACCAACTATTGTTTTTCAACCATGAATGAAATTTGCTCCATGACTGCAAGCCTTGAAATTAAACCTCCATTAACCTTGAATATTGAAAAGTTTATCATTATAATTCATTCATCATTGCATTTTTTTCATCTGTGAGAATTGTTAGGTTATCCGTTATCTTTTATTCACTCAACTAATTCATAGAGATATAGCGGGTTTTTCCTTCTTTAAAATTTTGTTGTTTGGCGATTGGCGAATCACTAACGATTGTCATTATCCTAATATCCGTTATTAATGTTTGACGTTATTTCCAGAGTAGCTCTTGGTTCTTAACCATTTGAATTTGGTCATTTGCTGTTTGCACATCTTTGTGGCTGTTTACTGACTTCTTCTGACTACGTTTATATTCATTGTTCAAGTTATTCTACATTTTCGTCAACGGATCTTCTCTGTGAGGTAAGTCACTACTAATAAGTTTTACCGACAAGCCTTTAAAATGAGTTTATTGAATGTCTTATTCATCCACTAAACATGTGCTTTTGAAATTTTCTATATTTTTTTTTAATTAAGGTTAATAATATTGATTAAATTTAATGGAATTGTTACTAAAATCTATAATATTTGGCGGGAAACTAGTTTTGGTTTTTTCCGAGTTTTTTCATTATTTAGCAAACTTAAATTTTCTTTATTGTAATTTTACACTTCCGTACCTATTTGCATTGATCGAAAATGATTGATAGGTGTCCTATTGTATGTTCCAATTATAATACAATTTGAGAAATGTGCTTTGTATTTTATTGTGTGAAGAAAAGAATAACATTACAATTAAATATTATCAATTTAGTAACTAATAGGTGCTCACCTATTAATTGGATTTCTTTATAATCTAGTAATAGGTGTGCTCACTAATTCTAAAATATATCCTACTTTTTAATTGGGTAAATATTATACAAAAGAAAATGAAAAAAAATAATATTATCTATAAGTGTGTAGGTAGTATTTTATTGAGTTTTTAAAAATAACATTAGGTATAATACCTCCTCCACTTAACCTGTAAACATACAATTCGTTCAACCAAAAATATGATTTTTTTTTATTTTATTTTCACGCTTTTAAAGCATTTGACAGTTTTATAATTCAACCATATGGTTAATAGCATTAAAATGGAAGATACAAAAAATATATCTTTTTAATATTAATAATTGTTAAAAATGTTTCGGTAAACTGGTCAAGTATGCTTTTTTTGTAAAATATAACTATACTTTGCAAAGTCAAACATAGTATTTTATTTTTCACCACTTCAAAAAAAATTATTTATTTATTACCTATTATAGAATATTCTACAAAAATCATAAAAAACCTACTAATGTTATACTCTGACCAACAATCCACAATGACTGTCCGCCAATCACAGGGGGGGGGGGGAGGTCAGGCACTGTTCGGAGGCTCAGTCTGCGTGCCGACTCTTAGATAGAACATAGTATAGAAGTCCTAAACCTGAGTTTTAAGAAATATTAATAAGTAAAATACATTTTGGCTTTAAGAATATTATTAATGTTTAGTAGAGAATTTCAATTCTGTCAAAATAAATAGTTGGATGATTGCTTTAAAGTCTTTCAAAAAAGCAGATAAGCACTTAATGATAAATAACTTGTTTCACAGAAAGATGAACATAATGACATTTTATTAATATTTTGAATTTTAAAGACACCAATCTCCACTTACTAATACATTCTGATATAAGGAGCAAAGTTAATTCTCCCCACCTGTAGCTTGTAGTTCTTAATTTAACAAATAATTTCACTATACTCTGTTCCATCTAAGAGTGAACCACTCGGCTGACCAAAACATGTTTTTTCCGCGCATTCCCACCACAATCCGGACATCGGTGGGAGTCTTGACATGGACGTCCGACGACGGCCGGCGATCACTGTCCACCAATCACAGAAAGCATAGCCATCGCATGAGGGGTCGGTACTGTTCGGCGGCTCAGTCTGCGTGCGCTAAAGCGGTTCACTCTTAGATGGAATAGAGTATAGAATACCCAAGTTTAAGAGGATGGTACACTTGCGTGTGTTATCACTTACAACATACACAATTTGCATTGGGGAGAATCAATTTTGTGTTGTTAGGTTTTCTTATTAGAGTTGAATTGGTTGTTAGATTAAGTTTTATAAGTTATAAGTATTTAAAATAGGAGACGAATGGAGTAGCGGACCTACATCTTGTGGGTTAACATGTTACCACTCCAATCATCGAACTTTTTCATGAAGTAGTTTAATCAGATCGTTTCCTGAATTTTTTTGTTGAATCGGTTATCTTTTAGATTAATTTCTATTAATTGTCGTAGGATGTGTAGGAAGTAGATGTTTGGTTATGAATCTGTCCACTAGTTTTGTGCACACGTTTGTTCAGGTGTCAACAATATAAGTTCAAAAGTATTTTTAAGGTTTTTGGCAAAAGATTGCATTTGAGTTTGAGAGACGTTAAGATTTTAAAGGGGGCATAAAAGCGTTGGCTTGATTAAACGTTTTACGAGCCACAGGTTTGAGTCCGAAGGATGAATAGTAGATAAATAATGTTTGGTATAAGCTAATTCTTAGTTCTTCGAGTAAAATTTTAACTTTTTTGGTAGATAAGTAAGAGTTTCCGGTCCGTTCATGCGCCTATGGAGCTGCACAATCGTCTGGTAAACGGTGTTGTATTTTTTATTTCATTTTAGAAGTGAAGTAGGTTTTGAGAAAAAAGTATTTTTTGAGATATGTTACACGACGGTTTTGAAAACAGTGTTCCGCTCTAGATGAATAATTTCCTGGAAATGGTTTTGGCTTCGTCGGCTGTCAGAAATAGTTAGTTATGTTTTAAAATTATATAATACAATTTAAAATTTGATAAATATTTTCAAAAATTCGAACTAAGTAACCAGATTAGCAATTGTGTAATGATATTATTATTATTATAGTACACAAATATTGTTATAAAAATAATGTTAGTATAATAACATAACTATCCAACTAACATGATAGTTTTACATTATAAATTAGAATAAAATAGTTAAATACATTAATAGTTAATAAACTTAATAATACACAATTCAAAAAAAAACACAATATTCATTATTCACTTAGGATCGTCATTTAAAAGATACAATTCAACAATATATTAAGAAATTCATTTTCTTTTAGCGCTATAAGAATGATCTTGATATGAATGAACATTTAAAACACTTGTATTATTTAGTAAGGATTTTCTTATTATATTACCTTCACTCGACGACAATTGATGAAATTCAAGTTAATTTTTTTATTTTTAGTAAAGAAACGTGGTTGTTTTTCAATATTCTTTTTATGTTGATTGTATTTATATCTTCTGTTTGCATAGGTTTTGATTCGTTTGTAAGTAATTCAATAATTTTATTGCAATGTTTTAAAATATGTTTTTTTGTGTACTGTAATAATAATAATATCATTAAACAATTGCTATCTGGGTATTAGTTCGAATTTCGAATTTCAAATTTCAAATTTTATTATATAATTTAACTTTTATAGCTTAAGATTGAAAATTTAAAACAATGTTCCACGTAAATATATTGTACATTAATACTGTATTCTCAATGAATTGTGTATTTTTAAATTTTAAATTACGATATTGCGTTTTTTAATAACTTATTAACTATTAATGTATTTAACTATTTTAATTATAATTAATATAATAAAATGTAATATTATAATTTATAATGAAAATTATGTTATCGATTTATCAATGTTATCACATTTTGATAACTGCAATAAAGGGGCTAAATGTAGGCAATATTATATACGGACACAAAAAATTTTTTCCTGCGAAGATCCATTCGTAAAGCCATAACTTCTATCATATTAAGTTTGATTGGGGATCCCATTGGTTAGTCAGGGCTTCCCTCCCCCCTAAAAAAATCTTTATGGGCAACACAATATTTGCTGTCATCTAGTAAAATTTATAATATATAAATAAAAATATATATTTTGAATTTAATTGGCTATGTATGTAACTAGGGATGAGACAACATCTTATCAAGTATCTAGAAAAAGTTTGCAATATTTTTAAAAGCTAGTCAGAGTTTTAAATTTTAAATTAATCGTTTATACATCCATTTGAGTACCTACCCTTATTTATTTAGAATGTATTTAGATACACAAGTTATGAACATTACAAGATTTGTATTTTATATTCCTTGGTCCACATTATGTGCATACAAAAATTTATTTTTATTTCTTAAGTGTTAAGTAACTTAAATAAGCTCGACTTTTCCAAACGGAGCACTACTAAATACTAATAGCAATATTTTTTTAAGTTTATTGCTCTTTAATAATTAATATTGAAAAATTTATAAGAGAAACCTTAGGTCTTCCATTATATAGGTAGTATAATATGAAAAACAGATGCTTAATATTATAAAATAATAAAGCAATTATTTGTTTATTATTATTTTATCTACCTATTTCTTATTATGTTCTGTGATTCAGTTTTATTTTAGAATGTACTTTTTTCAATTCAATTCATGATAAGATTATTTGAACATTAAAAATGTATTTCCTTGTCAAACATAAAATTAAGGCTCCAATATCCTCATCTTCAAGTTCTTTGTGTTAATCATAAAAAGTGTACTGAAACAGTAAATGGACAGCATTGTCTTTAATTTTCTTAATCCAGTGAATGGAAATTAAAATTAAATTTTTTTTAAATAATTAACTATTAACTAGTTTCTACCTAACTAAGTAGTAATACAAACTTTTAATATATTATTATAATAGCATTGTTTATAACTTGTACAGTAAAGTTGTACATAACTTAAGAATTCATATTTTAATAGCAATACTGTAGAATTAAAAAATACAGGTGTCAATATAAAATAAAATCAATAATATGCAAATCTATGATAATTAGAAATTAAGTTATGAGAAATAATAACTAAACATTTTAATTCCAATAAAATTAACACTGCAACTACCATGAAATTGCCTGTGGTCACATGGCTGTTTTTCCTACAGGGCCATGCTTAATTTTGAATAAATTCTTCCTTTTTTTATAACCTATAATTTTAAATCTGTTGAAGGCTGCTAATTTATCATTTGATGCAACATTTTCTTCTTTCGCATCATCAAAAAATATTCATTATTAGTAAAACTTTCCTTTGACAAATGAATGTGATAGGTATGTATTTAATATTTATGATAGCCCTTAAGCGTATGACATAGCTGACTAGGTTTGACCACTGGTATCCATAAAAATACTATTAGTATTATGATCTAATATTATGTGGACGCTAGCCGTCCCATGGCAGTCAACATATTAAATAACTTAATTAAATTTCAAATAAATATTAAAATATATATGCCTAATTATAATTATGAACAGTAAATTATTGTTATTGACGCAAATATAATATTATCATTGAGTATATATTTTATAGAGAAACAATGTACTATAAAAATGTCCTACGCTCCTGGGGGGGCAGGTAATAGCACATGGATAAATTTGTCGTAGAGGCGTAGTAATTCTACCAATTTATAATTATTGTACACAGTCGCCTGTCTCAAGTTAATCATTATAATAATTACCTTTAATCTAGTGTGTACGATTTAGCAGTAAAATAAATTAATAAATAATTATATTATTATTATTGTTATGTTAAACAATAAAATACAAGTTACAATATGATTTAATTTCAGTTATTAAAAAATATAAAATAATATTGTTAGTGACTACTCTATTGTCAGCATCAATGACCATTTAGCTCAGCATAAAGTATTGAACATTGTTTCTGGTACAGTTTTTTACCACAATTAAAGATATAATATTACAATATAAAATCTTTAACTGAGGTATATACTCAATGGTATTATGCAGAATCAAAAATGTATAAATTCATTTAACATAATAATTAGTTATTATCCAAAATTATATTATTTAATTTAGTATGTTAGGTATTTGAATACAGATTGAACAGGTTTCGTGTCTCAACTATTTTATGGTTACTCTCATTATCTTAGATAAAATAATCCATAGAATACTAGTTAAAATACATAAAATAACTGCTATCCATCCCATATTTACACTCCAGCCTAGTGAGTATATTCTAGATGTCAGCAATTGTTCCCAGAACTGCATTGTTTGACACATATTTCCACCGGCAATTAATATACCTCTATAAGTCAGGGATTATTGCAATTAATTTGGTAGAGGCGTAGTAATTCTACCAATTATAATTATTGTACACAGTCGCCTGTCTCAATTAATCATTATATAAATTACCTTAATCTAATGTGTGTTTAGCATAAAATACAAGTTACAATATTTTAATTTCAGTTATTAAAAATAAAATACAAGTTACAATATATTTTTTGTTATTAATCAATGACCAATTGACTACTCACAGCATATGACATTTGAAAAGTACATTGTTTCTCTGTACAGTTTTTACCACAATTAAAGATATAATATTACAATATAAAATCTTTAACTGAGGTATATACTCAATGGTATTATGCAGAATCAAAAATGTATAAATTCATTTAACATAATAATTAGTTATTATCCAAAATTATATTATTTAATTTAGTATGTTAGGTATTTGAATACAGATTGAACAGGTTTCGTGTCTCAACTATTTTATGGTTACTCTCATTATCTTAGATAAAATAATCCATAGAATACTAGTTAAAATACATAAAATAACTGCTATCCATCCCATATTTACACTCCAGCCTAGTGAGTATATTCTAGATGTCAGCAATTGTTCCCAGAACTGCATTGTTTGACACATATTTCCACCGGCATTAATCATACCATCTATAAGTGCTAGTGATTGATTGCAATTATTCTGGCTATGTGTTTTTCTTGAGTGATGTTTATTGTGCATTATTCCCAATGTGAACAATCCAAAAGTTGCTATAAAATAACAATAAAAAAATAATGTTTTTACATAAAATACTAAGTGATTATTTTAACGCTCGTCTTTTCAAAAATGTTAAAGTACCTAGTTGAAAATATTTTTTTGTATAATTTAAAGTTAACAATATGACACTACAACATATTATATCATGTTGAAACCTACTTTTTGTGGTAAAAGTATGAATACTATTAAATCTAGGTTTTCAAACTACTGCTGAATTCTGCCTTTTACTAATTGATATTAAGTTTTAAGATACACATATAAAATAGTTCTGTCATACTCCAAATGTTTATTGCAGTTTGGCTTTACAAACAAAAAATTGTACACCTTAGGATAATCAATCTATTATAGTTAAAGTCTGAAATATAAAAATAACAGGAAAATGTATTAAAATCAAATGAAAGTGAACAGATTAAATTTTATTTCATTTTTTTATGTCTGTGTTTAAGGTTCCTGGTGCCAGTTCTACAAATTTCCCACAAATCTATAAAATTTGAAAACGTAAAAAAATTTATAATTTAGTTACCGCCTCAATTATAAGACTTCCACTAATCTACTACCCGATACCTATTTAACCCCCTTATCCCCTCGTTGATATAGTGTATTATATCAAAAAAAATTAGAATAACTCTCAAGCTTGGTATAATTGTCGGATTTTGATGGCTATTTTTTTATCTGTAAGAAGAAGATCTGTAGGAAGTCTTACAGATATTCATATATTCCTACAGACTGCCTTCTCTGATTTTGTATTTTACTTCAAATAATTGTATTAAAAAAATTTGTAAAAAAAGCTTGTTATCTTGTATTTTTTTAGACATATTATAAAGTTTGAGAATAAAATATTGAAAAACAGAGATCGAGCGAGCTCTATTTATATTTCCCTCTAGCATTTAAAAATAAAATTATAAAATTAGATTGATTCTACAAGGCGGTATCGTTATTCCCGCAGAGTGTATTTTTGAGGAGAACATGGCATCGGTACCGGGCGCCATAAATAATCGATCACAAAATTATTTCAAATTATTATTTGAAGTATGAAAGAACTTTTTTGTATACTTATCCAAGAATTTACCGATATCATTCGGTAAACTCCTGAAATTCTTGAAAAACAGCATTAATTGTTTTTAAAATCTAGGTATTACAAATATTCATATTTTAACTGTAAATCAAGTACTTTGAATTCTTTTTATAATATTTTATTTTAGAGCTGAGAACTTGATATTTTATAATTTATATATTATGTAAAATGTATGAAATGGATATTTAGAATTAACTAACAATTACCTGCTAATAAATACATCACAGCAGTGATTAACATAGCACTAATTTGATGGCGGAAAATAGAAAAAAGTCCAATCAATGATGCAGTAACAACTATTATAATGCACACCAATGCACATGATATTGACATATTTTGCATTCCTTAAACATAAAAGGTATAATATGTAATTAAAAAAATATTTCATAACAATTTTATAATAGATTATTATTATATGTATTTGGTTTATTTTTTCAAAAATGGAATATTTAAGCTTTGTTTTTATAACTGCTTTAAAAATTTTTATAAGGTAGCCCTAGAATTATAATGTAGGTACCTATAATTTTATAAAATTGAATCAAAACTCAACAAAGTTTATTTATGTACTAAGACTTCATGGGGTAGTATTGAGCCCTTTGCTTAATAAACTACTCTAACTGAATAATGATAGTAAATAATATTATATTGGTACACAAATCCAAATTTTCAATAAACTACATCAGTAGGTACCAATATATTTTTAATGTATCAACTAAACAACCAATATATAATCTAAAATTGTTGTTTGGATTAATTTTAAGTTTGATACCCAAATTGATTTTATATCTTATCTTTTAGGTAAGTTTGATTAATAACACAAATATTTTAAGAAAATGTTAATTCATGTAATTCTAATGGCTTAGTTGTCACAGTTGAAATATGATAAATTAAAATAATTTTGTCAATCTGTTAATACCTATGTTAACTATTAATTATTGAAATATATTAAATAGGTATTTAAAGTAAATGTACAGTTGTAATATTAAGCTTAAATGAACAGAAACTGAATAAATAAAGAAAAAACATTTCAATTAATAATTTACATCCTTGATCCCTGGTCTAAAGCCATTTTCTTGTTACTTGGTAACACCGCAGTTTTAAAATTATTTCTATTACTGGAAGCAGGGGCCTACTCAAGCAATATAAAAGGATATTTATAATTTAATCTAGAATAGGTATAATAATAAATAAATTATCAACTAATAATAATTGTATGTAATTTATGTTTCTTAACATTTCACATATCAATATGGATCCCCAACCACTGAATGATACAACCATAGTTATGCTACTTGCAGGTTTCCAGATAGGTATTTTACAACTATTTACAGATATTTACTATTTACATCAACAGATATAAAAAGGTGAAAAGAAAAGTATTATATTAATAATATTCATTATTGTCTAAAATATGTAAGATACTTAAATTTGGTCCTAAAAGTCCTAAAAACTTTAAAATATTATACAATTATTGATGTTATGTGGCTTAAAAAATTAAAATGAATTCATAAACATAATAGCAAAATAACTATGTAATGTATATTTTGTTTGCGTGAAAGAATGTACAAGAATTATGCAGGCAATACCAATTAAAGCATGATGTTTACTTACATACACATATAATAAATGTTTATATTATATTGTATATAGGTCTAAAAGTAATAATGGCGTGACTATTTTTATTCATTTAACGATTTTTTTTTTGTACAATGCAAAAGAAATGAGTTTTAAAACTTAATTTTATGAAGTTAAACATTATAATATTATAACTAAAATTAAAAAATCCACCTATTTTATTTTTAGCAAGTTTTGTTCCAAAAATGACTTGTTAGTAAATTTAATTTTTAACTTTTAGTGTTGCAGAACTGCAAAATTTCTAATTTTCTGTCGCCAATTTTGATTTTTAAGCCTTACTGATCCGGTGGAAAAAATTTCTATTAAGAGGATACTATCCATAACCCATACATTTGTTGTCTCCGCCTTACACCCGTATGACAGTACATTTTCGTCGTATAGTTTCAATAGTGTGCTGTTAGTAATAATATTAGACTAAATTGATCAATTATCATAACTTTTAGGTAAGAACATTTATCTGTGCTTAACGATTTTTGTTATTTTCAATTTCGAGCGTGTGTAAATATGCTGAAAAAGATGTGAAAAATTAAAAATTCTAGCTTGAAAATTAAAATATTGATTAAATTCTGACGCTTAAGGGGACGTTTACGGTGACACTAATTGTTGTCTCCGTCTTACAAGAGCGTAAAACTTGCCATGTTACGCACTTGTAAGACGGAGATAACAAATGTCACTGTAACGTCCCCTTAAGCATAAATGTTCACATAATAATGTTCTTATCTAAAAATTTGGTAATAGGTCAATTCATTCTAATATTAAAACTAACAGCACACCATTGAAACTAGTAAACTAAAATTTGCTACGTGTGTAAGACATACGGAGACAAAAAAATACATGGGTAGCATCCTAATAATATTCTAATATTTGGTTAGGTATATAGTAGGTACCTATAATACTGTCGTTAGGCCGTTACAATTTAAAAAACCGAATTTTAGTGTTAAATGCCCTAAAACCCTTATGATGCTTGAAAAAATTACATTAACATAAAAAAATTGACAAAAAACGCAAAAGTAAAAAAACTTATTATGATTCTAAAATACATTAAACGTATTTATTATGATATTACGAGTATCATATAATATCTAGTTTAGGAAAACAAGGGAAAGTGCATCGAAATTCCTGCCTTAGTTAGTATTGATTTAATTTAGCTTTAAGTCAAGAATAATGTAGTTAATTCACTTAATATGATAACAGTCTAGATGTAGGTTAGGTTAGACTCCATTATATTACTTACTATGATGCCAGTCCGGTTTAAAATACTCTTCTTCTGGGGGTTCTTCAGCTAAATAATTAACACATTTGGGTAGCACCGATCCCATTTTATTATTTGTTTCTTGATGCAGTTGTACTAATTGATCTTCTAAGGATTAACAAAATTGTTAATTATAAATTAATTCTTACATTCATTTAGATGTATGCTTTTAAATTCAATTAAAATGATTAATTTATTTACGTATTATAATAATATTATACTGCTGTATTATTACATTACAATATATTTATACAATTTTTATGATTTGAGTGCATGAGTAATTAACAAAAACAAAAATGAAAGATTGGTTACAAAATAATGTAATATATTTATTTATTTATTTATTCGTATAATAACCGGCGGCCATCGAACTATACAGTCTATACTCTATCTAGCGTAAATGTATTAACTATTTTACACGTACAAATAAATGTTTATATTGATATTAACGTATTTATTTTATATTTTGCTAAGCGAATTATGTAATAATGTTGCAGTAAATCAATATTTTTTCCATAATAGTTTATCATAAAATTAGAAAAAGCATAAAGATTTATTTAAAAGTCACACTTTTAATATCATTTGATTGATAAAAGCAATCAAATTTTTAACTCGTGTTTACATTTAAATTGTTCATATTGATACTAAAAATATCGTGCATCATAATTTATATTTTATACCATATAATATAGAGCAATTTATAAGTTCATAGTGATAGAATAATACTAAAATAGCCATCCAGTTTTATTTCATTATTACACTTAATTGTATTTCTTTCGGTTTAACGAGTAATAAATATTAATTGTTTAAAAACACTGACACTCGAAAACCTTGTTAGAAAATAATAAAAAGGATTCTATACAAAATCCATTAGGTGGCGCCGTTTTGTCCTGTCCTTAGAGTTTCATTTCACATTTGTATTAATACTTTAAATGTATACGTACGTGTGTTATAGTTGGATTTGCTACAAGTACCTGTTAGAGAGATACATAAAGTCCAAATTCCACCGTACATTGGTGCAAGTATAACTGTAGTCTTTTCCCCCGTTTGATATAATAGTGGGTTTATGTCGTAAAAATCCGTTTGATGATATTGATTTGCTGTAGCCAAAACTAATAATTTTCCATTATTTACCGGTGATGGCTTTGCAGCGTTAATTGTTATTTTTAATGTATTTCCATTTACTAGCCATTCGGTATTTACGTTATTCAACCATTTGGACGATTTATTTTGTGTTTTCAAAACTGATATTGCCTAAAAAATGTGTATCTATATTGTATTATAAGCAAATTTTTCTAAATTAGTTCTTGTTGAATTCTTTAAAACTTACTTCTTGAAAATCCCATTCCATATTTTCCCAGTGATTAGTCCAAACGGATGTGCATAACATAAATGTTGTACACGATGAAAGTAGGAGCGTGATCGTGAGGAAAAGTGTAAGTGGTTGTATCGATAAACAGCCCTGTGCTTCCGTTGGCCAATAATGAACCGTCACAGTATCCATGTTCTATATTTTTTAAAATTACGTTATGTAACAGTATACATTTTTTAATTAATTTTTGTAAAGTTATCGCTTAAAATCAAAATTTTTTTTAAATGAATATTTAAAGGTTTCTACGTTTACACGTTTTAATAGTTATTTTATGCGTGGTTTACTTAATTGTAAATTTTATTATGTGGAAATGTAATTAATTTTACAGCTTCTGTAAAACGGCCAAATTTTAAGGTTTAAACAATCAATAATATTCATTTTTATATAAAGTAATTGTATTTTGCATTGTACAAAATTTAAGCATTATTTCTCCGGTCTATAAATATTATATTTCAATTTTTTGATTACGCTATTTATGCCGCTAGAGCTATAATAGAATATTATATATTAATATATAGGCATATATTATCTACTTTAATATTTAGTATAATCACGTGGCATTATTATGTATTTTTATTTTAAAATTTATCGCAAGTCTTGTTATATTTTTTTTTATAACAATGTCGTTTCTCGTAATACGTCTTTGTTATAATATTAAATACAATTACAAGTAGAGGTATACAACATTAAATAATAAACTACCATATGGATTTCGTTGTTAACTTATTAAAATGTGTTCATATTTCAATATATAATATTATGTGCTGAATTATATATTTTAAAAAAATGACTGTAATATTAATTTTTTTATATTTTGTGCCATTGAGTATTGATGAAAAAACTTGAAAGCTTTTCCCATTTTAAAGTGTTAGGGATAAAACTTTTTGCAGTGGGTATATAATATAATATAATATGCTATTATACCAATCTAGTATATTATATAGTTCGGTTTATAAACGCCCTGTGAAATAATTTTTAAAATATAGTTTCATATTTATTAGTATTGTTCAATCAAACGTACAAACCGTTAGTACTTTTGGTTTTGATATAAAATATAGATGACATATCATAAAATATCACAATTCACTTTTAAAATAATCTGTGTTTAACTGATGTTTGTTACAATATTACGATTTAAAAAATGGATTTATATAATGAACATTAATGATAAAATGTTATTATAATATAAGGATCTTCTATATTATAGTTAAAGTAACTTTGTGATGCATAGTTTAATGCTTACACTATTTTATGCGCAAGTACCTGATTTTGTCATAAGCTTGTAACTAATAAACGTAAACAACGTGTGTGCCAGTTATTATAAAAATTATTATTTTATAAACTAAAAATAACTACTTATGCGCATATTTACCATAATATGATTTATATAATATTATATTGACGTATTATAGCTTATGGTTTGTTCGAAATGTACGTATAGTTTTTAAAGTTTTTTTTTAGCATTCTTTTGAATGTAATGAACAATATTTATGAAAATCGTGACCTTACCAATTATTAATATAATATCGTTATTATTAATAAATATATTTGGCGTAGGTGTTAATCTGTGTTAATCCAAGTATTAAATGTGCTTCTGATGAGAATTATAGAACTACAAAACACACCACGACTACTAAGCAATAATAATAACTAGGTGCTGAGTAGACTGTTAGACTCCAGTGTGCGTGGAAGCAGTAAAGCACGTTTGCCTTTGCCCCGATCTATAATATCTGGAACTGGGGTATAAAGGGCGCCAAGCTCTAATAAACATTCTCGGCTACAAGTGTTGCCAACTTAGAAATAATGTTTACAATAAAAATGTATTGTATTGGTCCGAAAATTTTTAAGATGCACCGTGCACGCTGGACTAAAGTTTAAAGACATATTTTCACAATATCATCATTGAATTAAAAACCTTTTATACAAACCAATAACCATGCTACTATATTATCTTACCCCAGTGGCCAGTACACAAGTACACAACTTCACTTATATTAATTTATGTAATTAATATTTTTCATATGTATACGCATCGTAATATAATTTTAAACACGTTTAAATAATCTAATAAGCTTTAAATTTAAGCAAATTAAAAATTTTAAAAGTGCCCGAAAACTGATGATTTTTATTTGTTGTTAAATTTAATATTATATCATGACATAATTTGTTCGGTATTAATTTTTAAAAAGAAATAAAATATTTTGAACCGATTTTAATAATACAATATGTTTTACAATGAAGAATCGTATATGTTACTTGCAGTGTTGGGTATTAATTTTGAAAATTAATAATATTTCGTTAATCGATACATTAAATATTTTTATTTAAATTACATTCATGTTACCCGACATTATTTTTATCATGATGCATTACTTTTTCATTCAAAAAGTAAGGTGTTACAAATTTTACTAATTTAAAAATTTACTAGAAAATCAGTCCATAGAACGACTAAGGAATAATAATTAGTTGGTATACGCTATTATATAAATTGTATAGCAGTGTAGGTATACCATTGATGATGTAGACGGTACATTGTTAATAGTGTTATACATGAACAAAATATAAAAGTATTAATTCCTGGGATCTTTAATAATAGATATTATAGTATTGTTGATTATTACATAAAACTTTTGGAATCAAAAATAGATTTAATTATTTTTATCGTAAATCCTATCCCTAGGGTTTCTCATACATTCTACATTTGCAACTTATTTTAATAACGTAAAATAACACATTACCACATAGAAATTACTTTAAAAGAGTAATTTGTAATTTGCCTTATGTTACTACCCAACACTATTATCTTGTTATACCTATAATAATAATGTTCAAGAAACTATAGAATATTTAAGAAAATATCACCAATAATCACTAAATATAATATATATTTTTTCTTTTAGATTAAAATGCCTTCTGAAGTAGTACAGAAAGAAGCTGAGATTGGTGTTGAAGAGAAAGATATTGTTGGAAAATTAGATACAAAAATAGAGACAGAAGAAAATGGCTCTCAAGAATCCAAAACAGAAGAAAATGGTTCTCAAGAATCTAAAACAGAAGAAATTCAAACGGTTGATAAATTAGAAGAATCTAAAATCGCTGAAGACGAATTATCTGAAAGTGAAAACAAAGAAAACGAGGAACCTACTGTTGAAGATACCGAGTTGCAAAAAAAACGTGCCGATCAACTTTTAACTGATGGTAAACGCCATTTAATAATTAAAGATTTTCAAGTAGCCGTTGATGTTTTAGGCGAAGCATGCAGTTTATTTGGAACCATTTATAGTGAATTGGATGAAAAGTGTGCAGAGGCTTATTTCAATTATGGCTGTGCCCTTCTTGAGCTTAGTAAGAATCAGACAAGTCCTGTCGGACTAGAAGAAAAAGATGAGGAAGAAAATGACGGAGAGACTTCATCTGAAGAAATGGATTCAATTAATGAGGCAAATAACGCTTCTATATCTAATGAAACCAATGAAATAGAAGAAAAAGAAACAGACAATGTTGATGACAAATCAACTGAAACAAATAAAGAATCAATTGTAATAAAAGAAGAAACAACTGATATAAAAGAAGAAACAACTGATATAAAAGAGGAAACATCGGTTAATGATGAAGAAACTGAAGTTGAAGGACAATCTAATGAAAATGAAGAGATGTCTGTTGATGAAGGAGAGAAACTGGATAATATTAAAGTTGAAGGACAATCCACTGAAAAAGAAGAGATGTCTGTTGACGAAGGAGAAAAACCGGATGAAGAAGATGTTGGGGAAGATGATGTAAATGATTTACAGATAGCTTGGGAAATGCTTGACTTGGCAAAAGTGATTTATAAAAACAAAGATACTGAAGAATCAAAACTCAAACTAGCTGAAGTATTAATGAAATGTGGAGAAGTAAGCATTGAAGATGAAAAATTTGAAACTGCTATTCAAGATATGACAGAAGCCTTGGAAATACGAAGGTGAGTTTTTTTAAAAATTATAAGAAAGTTAAAATAATAACTAATAAGTTACATTTTTATAGGTTATTATTACCAGAGGATGATCGTATCATTGCCGAGACTTTATTTCAATTGGGCATAGCACAAGAGTTGGGTGGAAGCGGTGAGCAAGCCATTGCATTACTATGTGAAGCTTCAACCGTTTTGAATCAAAAAGTTAAATCCTTGCAAACTTTGAATACCAGTGACACAGTACAGGCAGAAATTGCCGAAATTAAGTCCATTATTCCTGAAATACAGGAAAAAATTGTTGATATCAAAGAACGTAAAAAGGCTGCCGTGAGTGCATTGTTAGCTGCTGTAGGTGCTTGTAACGTAGCCGCAACAAATGGTGAAGCATCATCAACAACCAAACAGGCATCCAACATTGGTCATTTGGTACGTAAAAGACCTAAACAGGAGGAAACCGCAGATGCAGCTCCAAACAAGGTTCCTAAACTTGATGAATTCCCAAATGCTAAACAATAATTTGGAACCTATTCATTTGTTTAATTTATTATAATACTCCTCCAGTTTTAATCGTTGGTTTAATTTTAATTTTTTAACATTAAAAATGAAGTACCTACCTTCTATTTTAATTAATTAAGTGAATTATTTTTATATTTTTTTTTCTTTAAATTAAGTTTAACATTACATGCAAACAAAAAACAAGACTGTTGTATCATATTTACTTTTTTTTTGAAAATGTACACATTATTTACAAATTTGTCTTACTACTAAACATTATTAAAAAATTAGAATCCTGCTATATTCTGTTTCCACAAATTGTCAAATGGTAAACGGTTAGTAAATAATGGTAGTAAATGGTCAAATGTTGTAATTTTACCAGTAACTGGAGCCCACTTTTGAGTTTCACATCAATACAAAAATTATCTAATCTAATTTTTTAGTTCTGCTTCTCGTCCTACGTTTGGTATAACTGTTTTAACGTGATTTTGTTCCAATTTTAATTTTACTATTCATCAATTGCATCAACCATAAATTACACAACTATCAAACATTCATGTTTGCTATAATTTAAAATTATAATGTCACTCAAGTAATAACTGTTTGCAAAAAAAAAAAGATTTAATGTGTTTTGGTCATTTTGTTTGATTTAAATTAAAGCCATTTTTGTCCCGATACTGTTTCACATTTGTAAACACTTTGAAAGTTTTTGAAATTCTTTTCATTTTCATCTTTTTGGTATATGCTTTGGGGTTCCCATGGCTATATATATCAAAATATTCCCATATTAAATCATTTTAAAGTATTTTGAAAATTATTAATCAACAATTTAGTGAAAACTATTGATAAAATTGTTTTCTGTTATAATATAAAAGCTAAACAATAAGACGTAATGTATACTACTATATGACTTGAACCTATACACTATAAATAATAGTTGGATACTACAGTATAATGTACTTGATTAAATAATCGCATATTATACAGAGTACAGGCGTGATGACATAAGAATACATTTTTTTTTTTTTAATAATTTATAACAACTACATTGGTATTATTAAGAGGAAAAAAATACTTTTATTTTTTATTTTTGGTGTAAAATCATTTTAAGATATAACATAAACCTACAATGTGTCCATAAAGACTAAACATTTTCATTGCAAGTGAGATGAACATTATTGTTACTTCTGGCACTAAAATGCTATGAGAACAAAGTAAGTTAATATTGTATAAAATTGAAATGTGATTTGAAAATTAAATTTAAAAAAAAAGATCCATTACAGACTAACTGTCTGTTAATTAGCCTATTAGAACGAAGTTTATATAGTCCTGCAATATTTTAATTGAAAAGATGATAAACGTGTTTTATATGTATGAGTATGACAAAAAAATGTGTGCAAATTCAGAAATTCCAAGGACATGGGCTTCAAAACGGTAAGTATAGCAATGTATGAGATTTATTAGACTTTTTTGGTCTCTGGATAGGAACTAGGAAGGTGCACTTAACTATTTTAGACGACAGTTTACACTTAAGAACCAAAATATATATTTTCCAAATTATATTTATTCGAAATAGAGTAGATGAAAAATAAGTACCTACTGCAAAATAGGCCAGCCCGAGAACTCGGGGTTCAGAAAAATTAGACAGTAATAGTCAGTAGGAGACTGTACCTATCATATTTAGGATGTATTTATAATTTTAAGACTTCTTTTGCAAACTGCAAAGTACATTTTGAACGGATGTTTCTAATAATCAATGGCACCAAACGACCAAACCCTTTTTAAATCACTAGGGTAAACTTTTTTTTTTGGATACCTACGTACCCACCTGCCTTAAAATATGAATTATTTTTATTTTTAAGTAGTAATAAATTAAATAATGATCCTAAGATTTATTTTTAGGGAGATTCGGAGTGAATTTTCCGATTTCCAAAAACAAAATTTAACATTTGTTTATATACACAATACACTGAGTGATCGCTGACGACTGGTATTTTGGTACTAGACCAAATGGGTAACATAAACTGACTGGTAAGGCCGTAAGGGATTCTGAGAGGGATGATAAATATAATGGTTTTAAAATTATGCGTATTTTTTTTTTTTTCGTGGATACACGATAAGTTGTTGAAATTATTTTTAAATTATGCTTCGATTTTCAAATTCAGTATCTTTTCCATTTTGAAAGTGATTAGTGAATCTAGTAGTTTTGTTGGGGAGGTCGAAATTTGACCAAAATTCTCACTAGGTATATTTCAGAAAAACAGGAATTTTTACTTAAAATCGGTTTTTGACAAAATCGAATTAAATTTTTGGTGTAACTCTAAAAAAAATAATAAATGTGTTTGTATATCAAAAAATGTTGACCCATGTGCAGGGTTGGGCATATCATAGTTACATCTTACATACTTACAAGCAGTGTTGTAAAAAATACTTTTAAAAAGTATTTGAGTAATTACTCAAATACTTATAAAATAAAGTATTTAAAATACCACCCAAATACTATCTATTGTAAAGTATTTGAGTATTACTCAAATACTTTTTAGAAGTATTTGAAATAATTTTCAAATACAAAACAAAAAAATACGTACGTATACGACACACCTTACCTACCTAATGTTCGTATTATATTTCGCTATGATAATATACTATATTGGTAGGTAGTAGGTACCGAAACGTACCGTTCCGATCGTCGTCGAGTGTCGACGATAAACAGACGGTTTCTCAGAGTAACTAATATTAGCTATTAATAGACGAAAACTAAAACCAATATAGAATTGTTCATAAATGATAAATATATATTATAATATTATTAAGACATTATTATTATTTGACAATGAATAAAAAGTTGAAGGAATAAAAAAAGTATTCAATAAAATAGTATTCAATAGTAAAAAAATGTATTTAAAATACCGTTCAAATACTTCAAAAATAAAAGTATTTGAAAAAGTATTCAATACGGAAAAAAGTATTTGAATACTTTTACTCAAATACTTTACAACACTGCTTACAAGTTACATTTACAATCTTATAAGTTTTTTTTTTTTTTATTTATTTAAGTAATTTACAATCTATACAACATTATGTACAATGGGCAAATTTGATAGTTAATAATGTGAAATAACAGAGTTTAACATTTAAGGGCAGGCACTCAGCAGCACCACCCGACCGAGAACATTATGATGTCGTGGTTTTTTTTTTTTTTTTTATTTTATTTTAGTAGGTCTCTAGGCCACTGTCTTTTGAGTCTTCTGCACACATTGCCAGGAAGTGAGGTGGAAGAAAGTTGCTTTATTAATGGATTACTGTGAGAGTTTAAGTTGGAGTGAAATTTAGAGTAATGAGCTTTTGCTAATTGATTAAGTGTAGGCATTTTTAGGTCTTTGTGAAGATTGTTGCTTGTGAAATACCAAGGAGAAGATGTTATTAATCGTAGGCAGATAGATTGAAAAGCTTGAAGCGTGTTGGTGTTAGAGGGCTTTGCAGAGCCCCATAACTGGATACCATATGTCCAAGCTGGTCGAATTATTGATTTGTATATAGTAAGTTTATTGGAAAGGGATCTTATAAGTTATGTAACTTTTTTAACTTGTGACTGGTAGGTACCTACTTACTTAACTATATAGTTACAAATTGACCTGTAACTTTGTATGAAAGTTACAAAATATTACACTGTGCTTTTTGTGCTTTGATAATTCATAAGTGGGACTATAAAAGTAATAAGAAAAACGTTTCTTCTATATTGATTTTCACAATTAATCTGGGCAGTGGATATTCAGTGGTTATACGATTTTGGTTGAAGCATCGTTTTTTTCCTAACATAGGTAACGAATAGGTAACGACCATAACATTATTCTACCCAGGCCGGCAAATAATTCTATTTATACATTTACCAATGTAACTTTAAACTTTAAATTTAACTTAGTTATATAACTGTAACCATTGTATCTAGTTACACAAGTACATAACATAAAAAGTATCTAGTAACTTGTAACTATAGTTACATAGTTTTAGAGAAGATAACTTATAACTATTGTAACCAGTTACAATAAATTGAGAAACTTGTCCAACTGCTCATGTTGAGCTATTTATAAGCATATTATGATATTTTCGATTTGTATTAGTTTCTTTTTACTTAATGTCGATCAAAAAATCTTCGCTTGGTAAAAAACTTAAAAATGTAATACAAAGTTCCTCGAAAGTTTTTGTTAGTGGAAATAAAAAAATTAATTCAGCTTAAATCCACAATCATTTTTTACTACATTGCGGAAATTTATTTGATTTCTCATGTAATGGTTTTCTTATTTTGTTGTAATTCAAAAACGAATAACCGTAGATACTTGATTTAAACCAAATAATTATACTGTATTTTATAATTGTCTATTCTTGATAATATTTTTAAAATATTTTGACAGGTTTTGAGCTGTTTACAGTCATTTTAAATGTATTGTCTTAGTTTTTTTTGCAATTTTAATACAACGCTAATATCACATAGTTACATAAGGCTCTGTCAAACGGAACGCTTTATAACGCGCGTTAAAGCGGTAAATGGCTCGTCGGCGTGGTGCTTTCACGCACTAGAATAACGCAGAGTTTTAATAAATTACAAAATCACAAAAATAGCGCTTTCTGTTTGACAAAGCCTTAAAATGTACAAATTATTTTGTAGTTAAAAATGTATAATATAATAATCAATTTTTATAGCTAATAATTGAAAATGTAAAACAATGTTTCAGTGTTCCACGTAAGCACCAGTTCATATTGTAAACAAAATATCTAAAAAATATTCAACCGGTTTTTTATAGATGACATTCTAAGTAAAAATTTGGACAAAATAAGATATTTAATGACTTTTATTACCTACTTGAAAGTTGAAACTAAATGAAACTAGAGTATAAATAATAATTGAAAATTATCTGAAATGCATTAAAAAAATTGTAAAATGAAAATGGTAAAAGTTATATTTTAAATTCTATAAAATATATATTCATACCTATCTATAAATTATGTAATACCAGAATACCTATTAATAATTATTCAAATAATATAATATAAAATTGAATTAAAATTTAACACAATATCCATTGTTGTAAAAATTTGAACTTGAACTTCAAATGCTCATAAAAATGTTATTTGACTTTCCGGTTGACAATATTTTTTTAATAAACTCGAAAATTCTCGTTTTTGGGTTTTCCCGGTGTTTTTGAAAATTACTGGGAATTTTAAATGTTGACCTTCCCAATGAACAAGATACTGAAGTTGAAAATCGAATCATTATTTCGACTACCTTACCTACTTATCGTGTAAGATCAAGCCCGGATTAAGAATCAATTAGGCCCCGGGACACCATACACTTAGTGGGCCCCCTTTCAACTTTAACTTCAAAATAATATTGTATAATTTTTTACAATACAAATATAATATACTGGATGTATATCTTATGTCATTGCACATTTGCACGCTAGGTTTTTTATCAATTATGGATCGATGATATGGAATTTCATTCAAACAAAACAACTAAAACAAGACATATTTCTTTATTCTTAACAGGCAATTTTTTTTATGACATTTTCAAAATTTTTAAACAAGCAGCTGTACCAACAATAAAATCGACTTTATTTTTTCAAATGGTACCTATAACCACTATATTTTTTTTATGGATTCTGGTAATGCTTTTTTTTGAACATTTTGAAAGTCAAATGGGTTAACTATGGTCCTCTAAAGTTTAGTATAATATGCATTAATACTTTTAACTGAAATACCTAATTTACAAGAGGCAAGAGCTAAATATTATCATAATATCATCTTATAACTACCTTTTTATAATTTATATAGCCATATTGGTACTCCCGAAGTGCCTTCGCTAGTTGGTTCTTCCCTCAAGATATTCACTCTCATAAATTATAATTTTAAAAATAACCATCATTTATGCTTATTGTACTTTTTTTCTTCTTATATACCTACAGATTGTATAGTTTCTAGATTAAAAAAACAGTAGGTTACAACTGTTACAAGTGGGTCACTCTAATGGATGGTGTTAAATTTGAATTCAATGAAAAATATCATTGTTTAAGGAAAACGATTCTGAGCGAAAAAGGTCAGACAGTGTATGATATTACTAAGTACCTATATTTGATGATATTAGGTATTGTCAATAAAGTAATTTATATATAACATAACCTATTCACGTGGAACCTTGTTTTAAATTTTCAATCCTTAGGTATAAAAGTTGAATATTTTTTTAATTTTTACCTTCAAAATAATATTATTAAATTTTAAATTTGATAAATTTTGCCAAAAATTGAACTTTAAATGCTCATAAAAAAAAATTGTGCCTTTGTATTTTTAATACTTTTTAGCTGCTATTGTAACAATATATCAGGAGCCTTGTATTAAATGTTCAAGCATTTTTACCCAACTAATAAAATTTTATTGACAGCTAAGAAAACCTAAAAAATTTGAAATTTGAAATTTTCTGTAAACAACTTAAAACAAGTCAAATATATTATCTTGTATGGTGTATAGAAAATAATAATTTAAACATTCGATCAAATTTTCATGTATCTTCAGTAATTTGTTTTTGAATTACAACAAAATAACAAAATCGGATTTTGTCGAAAAAAATTCCCGTTTTTGTTTTGTATCGCTCCGCTCAAAATCTAAAAAAGTGTATAGGAGATAACTCTATAGAGAATATTATATAGACATTATTGACATTCAAGTTTTTTTGGAACAAATGTTTCGTGAAACTACAGCTGATATTGATCTGATCTTTCGGACCATAGACATATTAATAATAACATATTTATATAATTATATATTTATATGTCTATGTTTGGACTTGGGTGCCATAAGTCTATTATAATATGATCGGTGCTGGAATTCGGGCCGTTATTTTCCGTGTTAGGCGCGTGACGTAATGCGCAGACTTGAACCAAATCCGGATATTCATCGACCATACCATGTTGTATCAGATAAGAGTTTATCAGTCATAGGATACTATCATTATTGTTCTGTGCTGTGCTATCATAGTATCATGTGTAATAACAATTTCCTCCTCCGCAATTCAAAAATAACATGTTGAATCTGTTGAGAGGTACCTTATTTACCTACCTCCTATCTAATTTCAAATTAACAATGGTACACCGTACACTTCCTTCTATTTTATGCCTTATGGTCGTATTCACTCGAACGGAACGTACCGACGAGGAACTACGGACGCTCGTTTTAATGTCGTTTAATATCGGACATCCAGGACGAGTCTGTTGATTTTGTAATTTATATTAATCTCTAATTAGGTATTCTCTTTTTATTTTAAAATGTCATTTTTAAGATGTACTTTCGTAGTTATTCAAATCATTGCAATTGTCTTGTCACAGAAAGTCAGTTCCAGAAATAAACAAGTAAGTGATCCAATTTTCCAGTGCTTTTATTTTTATTTCATTATTATATTTTGTAATCATATATAGATGCCTATTTATATAATAAGTAGATTTGTTTTAATTGTTTTATTAATATGCCTATTATAATATTTTTTAAACCATTTAAATAATTTACTTTCTCTTTATCTTTCATGTAGTTATATAGACTATTATAATATGTTTGAGCATCAAGAATTATATATAGTAGGCAGTAGATACTCTTTAAACTATTCGAATAATAATATCTACTTTTTTTTATCTAACATAGAGAATAGAGATTGACTATTTTAGTTTTAATTATGGGTAGGTACATTAAGTACAGCTGTATCAATAATAACCAATATTGACAATATAATAAATATTTGGCTGGTACAAGTTGTACCGTACAACTAAACAGTAGGTACAACTGGCTGGTGTGATTTTCAGAAAACTTTTTACAATTATGGTTAAAATTAGTAGCGACTTTTATTAATTGTATAAATCTATACATGATTATGAGATTCATTTAATTATAGATTTGGATACACTGAAATATTGATAAAATATTTAATAGCATACTTATCACTCCATAGTTAGTTTTGACCTTTATTAAATAATACCTATTATAAAGTAGTATTATGTTTTAATTATAAGCTATTTATGATTGACTTAACCAATCAAATAAGTTATAGGTAAGTGATTATGTATAATAATTTAATTTGTCTAAATATAAATTATTGTATTCATATTTAGTAACACCATTGATTATAATTTATTTAATTTATTATTTATAACTTAAAACATAAATAATTATAACCAGTAATCAAAAAAAAAAAAATAAAACCCCCGGTACGTAAATAAAATTTTTCCCGTTCTACTTGTTTTTTGTATTTATTTAATAAATTGGACTTTCAAATCTTATCTGTAGAAAGTGTATGCCAATTGATACACAAATGTTACACACATTAGATTATGAACTTACCGACCTATAAAATGGCATTAGCTAAAGTTGAAAGGTTGATCGCATAATAACAAAAGCTGGTAAAATAATTCTGATTGAACATTTTGTATTAATGTTTAACTGATCAGATATTTTTAATAAACAGATTAAAACAATTGAAAAAGCTTGTACTTAATAAATTTAATTCAAAATATTTTGAAATTTATAATTTATATTTATATTTTATCTATTTTTAGTGCTCATTTTAGTGTTTCAATATTGTAACATAAAATTAATAGTACATTTTTTCAAGTGACTTCTATTACATCATCCATTATAAGATATTTAAAAATTAACTATCTAGATCAACAATTATTCAGATGTTACCAATATAAATTACCTAAAATTTGTTCACTGAATTTAAAAATGTTTTTTAATCTTGAAAAAAAACCACCTTTTGAATACAACTAAATTAACCTTTGGGTTATCTTATTACTAATATGTTATAAATTAAAAGAATATACCTAATAGTTAATTTATTATGATTTTAATTTAACCTAAAAGAATTAAAAATATATAATTTGTTGGTTACGTAATGCCTTTCTAAAGACAAGTATTTTTTGTGAAATTAATTTTATAGTTACATTGTGGTATTTCAGTATTTGTATATTTTATTACATAATTATTATTTATACATTTTTTTACATTAGTTCTGTAATTGAAACCTTGTCACCTTTTATTATGCTATTATAATATGTAATACTATACAATAATGTTGATAATGTTTGCTGAAATGAGGATTTTATTTGTGATTAGAGAACTTACTTAAATAGTAGCAGTGAATTCAAAATAAACCGATGATACTTCTATTTCTATTTCAATGGGATCGATGCTATTATATATTAAATAATTTTAGTGGGCATTCGTGTAGCAGGTGATCTACCGCGGAGGGGTGATCTGCGAATTCGGGACGAGTGATCTACGTTTTAATAGTATAAAAACATATTATATTTTTTATTACGAGTACGCCATATTCGTCAAATATAAAAATAAAAAATAATTAGCTAAATATAATAATAATTTCAATTACAGTAAACATTTTTAGTATCATTTAAAAATTTTAAAAAAGTATTTTCATGATTAACTGATCTCCACCATGCTTCAATCAGATGACGAGGTAAAAGTTCCGATGTAGTGCCATGCATTTTTCGAAGTATTTTCATTTTCAGATGTGACCAAACGTATTCTATTGTCTGGGTGTTGGCTGCTGTTAGTGGGTCGACAAAGTTTTTAGAATGGTTTACAGTCAAGTGATTATAACCTGTATTTTGTAAAATTTTATATGGTTTCCATTCATCTGACATTATTGTTGTTCCTGGAAGTATTTCTTTTTCAATAATTGGAATAAGTGTAGCTCTATCTCGACGTTCAACAACAAAAAAACGTTTTTCAAGAAAACCATCATGCCGCCAACACATTCCAAACACCGAAGGTCCTTCTACTCGTTTGCCATAATTTCTATTCCTGTTATTAGGAGGAATATTTTCAGAATCAGAATCAGAACTATCGTCGTCCGTCAAATTTGCACCTCTATGATCACCCAGTAGAATCCTGCCTCTATTATATTTCCTTTTCCCTCGTAGTAATGACTCGTCAATTTGAACACATTCATTAGGTCTACCCATAGGTTTCCGATTTTCATAAATAGTACAACATACATCGCAGCATAAATTGTACCAGTCTACTACTGTTTTATTAGAACGTCTTGTAAGCCGACAAACGGTTACAATACTCATGTCTTCTGACCAGTAAAAAACTAACTCTAAAATTTGTCCCAGCAACAATTTAGAATTACATTTATTATTCAAATCCGTATAAGTAAAAAATGTATTGTCTTGACACAGAGACTGGAATGTTTGGCATCCTTTTTTAATGCATCTTAAACTTTGGTACTCACGTTGTTCACCAGAAGCCAGTCGTTTTTTTCTGATCACAATTTTTGTTTCAGAATCACATTTTTTACAATTTGGCGTTTCACTGCCATTCGGAAGTAAATAGTGAAGTTGTAAAAAATTTACAGTTGATTTTTCATCAACAATTATTTTATAAAATTCAGACGCACGCATTATAGACAAACTCCGACCAACGAACAATTTGAAACTAACCTATCCAGCAACATTGCTAATGACTCGTAGTCATATTGCAAATGTCATTAATCGTTATCGCAATACTGTCTCACTGCGGTTTGCAATAATGTGCGTATAATAATAGTATAATATAATAATTGTAGATCACCAATTACACCTTGTATAGTACAGTAGATCACCTGATACACTTAAAAAGAGGTAGTAGATCACCTGCTACACGAATGCCTTTTAGTGTTAGTTACTGTACCAATGTGGTTTATAATTAAATTTGAGCATTCCATACTATTTGTAAGTATAAATTATTGTTTTTAACATCTCAGTAGTCAGTTTGCAGTGTTGTATAAGCTACTTTTAAAAAGTAATTAAGTTACTTTACTCAGTACTCAGGGCCAAGAGATACAAAGTTACTTTACTCGTTACTTAGGGATAAAAATAATGAAATAATATATTATATTACTGGTTCCTCAAATAAAATTGTAATGAAATTATTTTACTTTTCAACATTACGTACATTTATAACAAAAATAATAATCTTTTCAGTATGACTGTGAACAGTCTAAAGTAAACTGTATTGCTCTATTACTCTTATGCTTTATGCTCAGAAGTCAGAGTAATAACTAATTATTAATAATATGATTGATTAACAAACAACGATACAAATTCAAAATATCCAAGATTATATTAATTACATATTTATATTGAAGCATGCATGAATTTAGATTATGTTGCTGTGCGATTAATGTATTTATTTTACAATGATGTGTATTTTTTAAAATAAAGGATTGTAAACACCCCTCCTGGACATTTTTAAATAATAACAACATTTTCATTAACAAATCATTGTCAGATAAAATTTGTCAAAAATTAATTTTGACCCCTCTCCTTCTCCACATAAAAAATAATCTGGATACTCCACTGTCACAAACTAAGTTTAAATTAGGACATTGTTTCATAAAATATGATCTTTCTGCTTTCATTATATCAAACACTAAATCTGTTATGCTTTTTATTACTGGTAATCAGTGGCGGCTAGATATAGGATTATTTAAAGCAATTGCTTCATGTGAATGGGTGGTGGTGTATAAATATATATATAGGTAATCGTAAGACCTCAACAAAAATATCATGGCAAATATTATAATTAATACTTATTAATGGCCCCTGCTGCTAATTTTGGTTCAATGAAGGGTATGGTGGTAAAAATATTTAAAATATACAATATGCTTCAAAACCTACACAATTTCACGTCGCCACTGCTGGTAATTATAGTAAATCATAATTTAGTAGTACACAAATTATTACAAGGTAAAATGTACGACAGATGTGCCTTGTGTATACTACCTATTTGTTATATTATTACCTATTTACTATAATAACTATTATTCACTGCAAACATTTTACAAATTAAAAACAAATTTCAACTAGGTATTACAAAGCTACTTCACTTATTGACACATCAATATAAATGTAAACGTCCCATATAAATTCATTAAAATTAAACCTTATATGATTATATGAATCTTATTTTAAAAATTTAGATTCCCTTTTGAATTTTAAAAGTTACTAAATTTTCCCCTTTTAATTAATTAATGCAAAATTAATTATAATAAATCCATCTAGATTATTATATTATGATTCTAAATTGGTTACACATAGAACACTTTACTTTTTTCTATTTAAATATTTCATAGTGAAATCTACTGTTACTTGCAATTTGGAAGACTTGGTGTATTATTAATTAGCATAGTATTATTAGATCAAATTATAATAATGTGATTTTTAAAAAAATTTAGAACACTGCTATTTCTCAAGATACTACTTATAAATTATGTCACATGGGGATTGAACAACATTTTAAACCAATCTTAGATGAAATGTTAATTGAAAGAGTAGTTGGAACAAATAATCATGAATTTATAAAAACGGTAATATTTTAGACAAATTAAAATAATAAATAATCATATTGTATGAAATCCAGTGTAAAGTTTTTGATTTTACTAAATTATAGTATATTGCTGAGGAAATGAAGAATAATGGTTGGGCAGTAGAACTAGATGAATTCAAAGCTTCCACACCAAAAGGCGTGTACAATATGACTAACGTTGTGGCTACTCTAAACCCCATGGCTGATCGGTATATAGTTATTGCATGCCATTACGATTCAAAATTAATGGATTTTTATTTTGTCGGCGCTACTGATTCAGCAGTGCCTTGTGCTATGATGTTATACATGGCAGAATCCTTAAACCAACGACTTGAAGCCTTTAAAAATACTGTAAGTTAACATACAAATTATAAATAAAACTATTATAATACATTATTTCTAATTATACATATCAACAATTATTGATCAACTTTTAAATTAGTACCTATGTGATTTATGCCGAGTTGAATTAACAATCACATTTAATGAATCAATAGTGAGCTGATGATCCCTTAAACATGATTGTGTGACCTATAATTGGTCCATTAAATTTTATTAATTAATATTTCATACTACTTGGCATTAGTTTAAAAATTGTTATACCGTGTGTATTTTTCAATTCTGTTTGCGGGACATTCAACTAGACTAATGGATCGTAAATTTCTATGACTTACAATGTTTTTAACTCGTATCTTGCACGTGCGCAGTAAAACTTACATTTTTTTAAATGGCGACCCGTAATTTGAATATCATATCGATGCCATTTTGATGTATCAACTTATGTCCTAAACCCAAAATTGACTAAACTAGAGCTAAGTAGAATTTAAAAAATTAAAAAATTAAATTAAATTAATTTTTTTTTCTAACTGTACGTACTTATTTTTTTCTTCTTAACATCATGAAACAAACAATCAAAATTATTATTATTAAACTAATTAGCTATTTCCTATTTATGAATTATTATCTTATTTTATTATTACACATTATGAAATAATATAGTTTAAACATGTATTTTCAAGAAACAAAATTTCTATTTTATTTTTTTTAACATGACTACATTTTTATTTACAATTTAATTTACAAAAATTACAAACATAAACTATTCAATAAACTGTTCGAAAGTCCCTCCGTCGTGTAAAGTGCATGCCTCAAATCGACATAAACATTCACGAGTAGTTGCTGCCAGTATTTGGTTTTTGTTTAGGAGGTAACATGCGTGTGTAAGTTTATTCTTTAAATCTTGGATGTTGATTGGAGGATCAGCATACACAACATTTTTCAAGTGTCCCCACAAAAAAAAAATCAAACAGTGTTAGATCTGGTGACCTTGGGGGCCACTCTACTGGTCCATGTGTTGCAATAACTTGTTCGCCAAATCTTACTCTCAAGAAGTCTTGGACAATTCGGGCATTATGAACAGGTGCCCCGTCTTGCTGATAATAAATGTTTCTACGTATATCTAAAGGTAAATCATCAAGGAGTAATTGCAAGTCATCACGCAAAAAATCTAATTATCTTCTTCTCGTTAAAGTTCCGTCATAGAAATGGGGCCCATGTAACTTACCACCAATCAAACCAACCTATACATTTGTATACCAACATGTTTGGAAGTTTGTAGGAACAGCCCAGTGAGGATTTTCATTCGACCAATAACGATTATTTTGCTTATTTAATATTCCATTATTAGTAAATTTACTTTCATCAGTCCACAAAATATGATTAATTAATAATGGACCATCCTCAGACGTCACCATAAACCAAGAAATAAAATGTAATCTTTTTTCTGGGTCTGTTATGCTTAAATGTTGGACAAAGTCTGGTTTGTAAGGGTGTAGTTTATTTTTTTTTAAATCTTATGAACTAAAGTTTTAGGTATGCCAACTTCATGTCCGACAGGCGTCTAACAGACGAACGTGGGTTAAGATGTACATAAGCTAAAACTTGATTTTCAATAACTTCATTAAAATGTTGATTTACCCGTGGTTGTTGTTGAACAGTATTTGTTCTATTAAATGAACCAGTTTCAATCAATGACTTTTCAAGTTTTTGAACATAAGTACGATTGGGGTGATATCGATCTGGATATTGCTGAGCGTACATTCTTGTTGCTTCTCGTGCGTTTCTGTTACATTTTCCATAGATCAATAGTAACTGAACTCTTTCACTATTATTCATGATAAATATTTTATTCTAACAAAAATCAAACCATAACTTTATAATACCTAAAGGTATTGAAAATAGCGAACAAAAAACGTCGAACTACTAAGACCGCAGTGACATATGACTCTGATAATGAGTTCCATAATACCTAATATAAAAATAGCTAATGACATTTTAATATGTATAGGTAGATAACAAAACTAGGAACACCAATGCTCATTATTATTTTAATAGATACTTAATTCTAATTCTAATGGAAACAAAAATACACTTCTTCTTCTTTTTTGGTTTCGGCCAATTAAGACCATATGCAATTTCATAATGTTTAATAAAAAAATAAGATAATAATTCATAAATAGTAAATAGTTAATTAGTTTAATAATAATAGTTTTGATTGTTTGTTTCATGGTGTTTAGAAGAAAAAAAATAACATACAGTTAGAAAAAAAAATTAATTAAATTGAATTTTTTAAATTCTACTTAGCTCTAGTTTAGTCAATTTTGGGTTTAGGACACAAGTTGATACATCAAAATGGCTTGAAAAAAATCGATGAACCCGAATATGATATTCAAATTACGGGTTGCCATTTAAAAAAATGTAAGTTCTATTGCGCATGCGCATGATACATGAGTTAAAAAAATTGTAAGTAATCGAAATTAAAGATCCAATAGTCTAATTTAATGTCCCGAAAACAAAATTGAAAAATATGTTCAGGGTAATGAGTGGTAATGTGTACCCTATTTCCGCGGACACACGGTATTTCTAATGAAATTGTTATTTCATTTAGATCTTATATTTGTTATTAATATTCAACTGTAAGTAATTATGTACATGATTGGTATTAATACAGCATAAATATAAAACTCTCGTTTATCCGTGGATCAGGGTGACACTGCAACCGCGAATAATCAAATACTGTGGTTAATTTGATAAATAACTGGAAAAAAGACTATTTGAAACAAAAATCTTTTAAATTATAAAAACTAAAAAAAAATCCATATTAATAACCATGTACAAGAATCACTAAAAAAAAAGAAATAATTTTACTTCTAAAAGTATAATACTATTCTGTAGCCGTGCACAAAGATTAAAGAAATTATAGAGTTGTAGCACGGCTTGGCACCAAAATCAAAAAATAATTGATTATTTTACTGTTCAGGTTCATTTTGGAATAGTTATTCATGTTACTAAATAATATACTTTTGTAAGTCAAATTATTTCTTTCTTTTAACTAGTTCTTGTGTACCATATTTTTTTAAGGTTTTTAATTTATATATTTTATTGGTCAAGTTTAATAGGAAAAGCATGGATAGACCTACTAAACATGTTGTTCGTATGAGACAGTAAAAATAAGTTAAAACAAATTAAATAAAAGAAATTCATTTGAAGAATAATGTAAAAAGAAATTTGGAGAATAGATCTAGGTAAAGTAAAGACCAGCATGAAAAAGATAAGTAAGCTCTAAAACAACAATTTAGAAAATTGTGCTTATCGTCTTATTTTGATACTCGAGCATTTATTATATAAAACACCAAAATAGAGAAGTAGCTCATCGCTTGATTTAATATGTGTGTGCTTATCGAATGAATCCTTTGAAGATGGCTGATGGAAATTGATTTTTCTGTTTGGATAGCAAATAGCAATAAGTTATTAAATAGGCCATACAAGAGGCAGTGATAAGGTTACACAATGTACCTAGCTAATACATTATAACAGAAATACCTATTCAACTTTTTTGGTATTTACTATTTAGCATAAAATATTAGCTAGATTCAATTTATGTAGGATTCACCTACTTTTTAAGCACCTATTAATAGCCTATTGATCGTCCCCCTGTTGAGCAAATGCCTGTTTTATATATTTCAACAAAAGAAACTAATAGATTTATACATATATATATTGTAAATTAAAACATAGTATTTATTGGGAAATGCTTAGGTTGAGAGTTCCATTCTCCATCTCTGGAGGTGTGAAGGTTTTCATACATTTTGATCAAAGTATATGGGACCACTCTGAAGATGTATCATGTTCATTAAAAAAAAGAATGGTCTCAATTAATTTAGAAATGATTACTGTAAACTAAATCATTGTACTTATCGCAAGTGATTAGCTGTTTGTTGATAAGTTTTGCTCTTTATATCTAAGTTTTCACCCTGGAGATATACCTTTTGATTAAAAAAATAATCGTAAAAATAGGTTCAAGAATGATGAAGGTATGAGTGAGCATACATACTCCTCCTTTTTTGAAGTTGGTTAATAATATGTATTTATAAATTGTAATTATGGTATTGTACAACAATTATACTATTATTTATGTATGTACGTTATATGTAATAATATATGTAATCCCGTGGATAATTAAGAGTTTACGGTTTACTCTTATTTTTTTACAAACAATAATAAATTAATATTCAATTAACAAAAAGTGAGTATTCAAATTCAGAAAAGTTAGTCTTTCAAAACTGTTAAGAGCTAATTTATTATTTTAATACAGGAAATAGAAAAAGTCATAATATTTATGCTACAGGTTTTTCTTTAAAATGCTAACTAATATATAAGTAATTTTAAATTATAGTATTCTGCATACTCATAATTTGCATAAAATTTAAAATATCATGAAAAAAAACCAACTTATAAACACAGATATTGTTCTTAGCTTTAAGTTTGATGATAGTTTGGTCAATTCACTCTAATATTAAAGCTAATTCAAGATTGTGGTTCTATTAAACACAAATGTTCTTTGTTGCGCCTGGTTCAGAGCTCATGTAATTATAGGAAAGCCCATGAAGTCTTGTAAAAATAAAAAGTATTATCTTAGCATGTGGTACTTAGTTTTATTCTAGATTTATATTAGATATAATTATTAATTGATATTTTAGTGTAAGTTATAATATATTGTTTAAAATAATTTAGCCTTTAAGCTTGATGATGGTATTTTTCGATGGGGAAGAAGCTTTTGAGGAATGGTCAGATTCAGATTCTCTTTACGGTTCCCGACATTTAGCTTCAAAGATGGAAAATACCAAATTTCTACATAATGGTCGACAATTAAATCAATTATATAGAATTGTAAGTTATGCATTGTCTTCATAACTTTATTAATCAGCATGTAATTAAACACTTTATTACTCTAATATTATTTTTTTTTTTTTCAGGAATTTTTAATGCTACTAGATTTGTTGGGCACAAAGAATCCAAAATTCTATAACTATTTTTTAGAAACTGCTGACCTTTATCGATCTTTGATAAAATCTGAAACAATCTTAAACAAAACTGGTTGTCTGATTGAACATACTGATACCTATTTCCGTCCAATGTCTGCATTTGTTAAAATTGATGATGATCATATTCCATTTTATCAAAGAGGTAAATAATAAAATTAATACACATCTCTAAATTTGTATGTTATAATCAGATATTTGTTTTGTAGGAATTGAAGTAATCCATATGATTCCAAATCCATTTCCAAAAGTTTGGCATAAGAAAAGTGATAATAAAGATGCATTGCACATGCCAACAATATTGAACTTAATAAAAATTGTTCAAGTATTTATAGTTAGTTATTTGGAAACACAGTGAAAAATGTTTTTTCTTTCTTCCTAGTATCTCATTTATAAATTAAAAAGAAAATTTAGCTAAGCTAAAATTAAGATTTTTTTATATTTTTTGACTGTTGATTTTGTTTTTACTGATTTTTTCAAATTATACATTCAAAATACATTTATTTATTATATGTATAATAAATAATAATATATACTTATCTGTATGATTATTGGAAATTAAAATATTATCATAAAACTTTTTTTTTTATTAAGCCTCGCCAATCGCCTTTTAAATTACAAATACTTGAATATTACATTCATTTTTAATTTGGTGTAATTTAGACGTTTCTTGGATGAATTGCTGTCGCCACATACTGTTAGAGATTATTCTGATGATCGTTTTAGCTTCAGGTAAAATTAACTCTGTTATAATAAGAGCCTTTGAGGATGTAATTATTGTCGATGATTCTAAATGTACTTAGTGAGCTGCTGAGGATGACTGCTTTGTGTATGAGTATTTTTTATAGGGTCCAGAGCATAAGAAACTTATATAAATCCTTCAGCTATGTAGATAGAACTACAATTTGTTAGTCTCAGACTCACAGCATGGTTTCGTGGTCATAGAATACTACAGCTATTCAAACACGGTTATCCATTTTTATTTGTTGGTGTATATTTTAGTGAAATCGGAAAGTTCGAATATGATTGATTGAAGTTGTTGTTTATATATTATGGGTATGGTGATTTTCTTAGTGAGTTCACTAATTTCTCTGTTGAGGTTAAATATGTTTGATATCCAGTGGGGCCAGAATGGTTTCATTTCTTATAACATGTAGGTAAGAACACAAAATATTTTCTATTACTTCTTTGATTTGCTTCATTACTTTGAGGTTATTTTGGATTTGTCTTTTGGCGAGAAGCATGATATTTTGTGTTCTTTTGATGTTAAGTGAGTGCTCCACTTGAAATATTAAGAATACTGGAATTCAGGCTGGAGTGGAATGCTCTGGTAGTCAGTCTGAGTCCGGCTGTAATGAACGGTATCGATAATTTTTAAAGCCGATGCTTTGGCATTTGTGAATAGAAATTAATTATATTCGATCTTTGATAAAATAAGGGCTGCTTTAAAACTATTATTAGTAATTTATCAGTCACAATATCTATAATTACTATGCATATTTTTATTTTATTTTATAAAGAAGGGTACTATTATGGGTAAAATAACTTTGTAATAATAATAGTTCCTATATAATGAACTATTTAGTTACTTGACATTTTAATATTAGTAAATGTATATATCTATAGGTACTAGGTAGATAACTGCTCTGCTGTACAGTAGGTGTCGAGTGTACTTATTCATTGAGTAGGTTACTGTAATGTAATTTATGTGCTAAATTTGAATTGATAGATAAATCATTGTAAAAAAACAGTTCTGAGATAAGACAGACTAAATTTTATTTTTTATTATTTAATAATACGCCTCAACTACCTGGGGTTATTGGCGTTTCAGAAATATATATTACATTTATTTAAATTTTTACATAAGAATAAGGTGTATATAAGATAATAAATATGATACAATAAGTTTTATCATAATATTAATTGTATGTGATATATCTAAGTATTTATGTTATATTTTTTGAAGAAGGTTCGTCTCTGAGAAGTTCTAGGGGTGAAGATGTTCTCTCCTTAAATTTTTGTAAGCAATGCTACCCAACAGTTATTTTAATTGTAATATTACAATTATAGTTAATATACTTAATGTTAGTATTATTTTTTTGGTAATTCATGGTTATTTTAAAAATTACTTAGGATTTTTTTATTATTGCCCTCCATAGTACAAACTAGATACAATTTGCTAAACGCCATCAAAGAAAAAAATCAAAAAAAATTTTCTACAGTAAAAAGTGTCTAGACAAAAAAATAAAATAAAAAACACATCATTGCTTCACTCAAAATCTAAAATGTATAACAACAAATTATATCAATAAATGACGGATTTATTGCGATAGTTGACATAATAGAGCAACACCTCTCATTATCCAGTGTTCTGGCTGTTTAATTGTTGGTATCCATAAGGCAATAACAAAGTTAGTTGAATGCCCTGTAGTAGATAATGTGCCTTTTCTTTCAGCCGTTTTGTACATTGGACACAAATAAACAGTGTCAAATTTCAAATCTTCTTTTTTTATTGGTACCATGTGAATTATTGGCATTCTGGAGTATAGTTGTTTTGCCTTACACTCTTTAAGACTTGATTTTTTATTACTCCACCTCGCTCCATCCAAAAATAGTCCATAAACATAAACACCATTTTCAGGGGCTGAACTTACTATCATTTTTCTGTCCATGATCTAGAAACATAGTTTTATGTATACAATAAAATTTAAAAAATAATATTGCCAGTTGGTAATTAAAAAGTTAAAAAGGAATCAAAACGCTACACTTCATTTTTGCACAGACGCACAGTATATTTATTTGTTTATAATATATATTAATTATATATATATATAGAAACTATAGAAGAGTAGCCATTGACAGATAATATAATGAATATCATCATAATTCATAAGCTATTTAATAACTTTTAAATTTGAATATATATGCTATTATTCATTAATCAGATGCATCTAATTTATTAGAAACACATCTTTCACAACTCACAAGTATTAGAGATTAGCTACTATAAACCCAGTTTACTATACTACAAGTTTAAACCAATTTATACCAACATTATCCATTTTTATTATTTATTATGCTAATAACTGCCTAGCTTGCATTTAGCATGATTTTCAAAGCAATTTTTAAGCTTTGGCCGATGGTTGACAATGAAAGCTAACAAAAAATAATTTAATTAATTGGTATGGTTTGACTGAACCGGACGAAATCAACTGGTGAATTTGTTATTCTTATTTAAGTATATGCACCTGTTGAATTATTTATGACAAATTTTACCTTAACGGCTATCACTTACAGGGATGAGCAATATCTTAAATGCATTATTTATACCTAGATACTTTCTTTGGTGCATCTTGTATCTTTTTTTATATTTTTGTTGGGTTAAGATACTATAAAGTTGATGCAAATGAAGGACCCTACATTTTTTTAATAATATAACAAAACAAAAAACTAATAATTTAAGTAACTAACCAAATAAGTTTTTAAATTTGCCAAATATTATTTCTATAGCTGATTGATGGAATTACAAAGTTAACCGTAAAACAAGTTGATACCTACCTATAAAAACAAAAAACTGCACTTTTTATAGAACAAATTAATTCTGAATAAACGAGTGTATAAGTGTATAACTAAAAACAATACCTACTAAGTTTTTTTTTTCTTTATTAATAAAATACACAATCTGTACACAATAAGGCACAATAAGAGTATGGGCTATAATACAAAAGGAAGAAAATCTTGAATGAAGAAGTCACCCACTGATGACACTTTCAAATTATTGAAGTTTTATAACATTTCAACAAATTTTAAAACATTTTAACAATTTAAGTACCTACCTACTTAATGAACTTATTGTATCTTATATCTTAAGGTAAGCATTTATGTGTCTAGTATGTACCTCTAGATCATTTTTTCAAGTATCTCGTCCATTTCTTCTCTATAATACCCATTACCTTTTTGATATTATTTTTAAATGTTAGGCCACGGTATGGACTACCACCGCAGTTTATAATACACTATTACCAAGTTCAGATTCTAAGCTTGTAAGGGAGCTATTGGTCTTAGAACTAGGTTTATGTTTCATTCATACTTTAGTATTGAGTTTTGTCCTAAAATATGCTTGTAAATTTAAAAGCTTGCTGATTACCTTATAGTCAAAGGTCAACAAATCTATAGGTATTTGAAACTTTCTTGCAAAATTTTGTTGGGATCCTGTTAAAAATGCTTGTGTAAAATAGAAGCCGGAAATCCAAAATGAATTTGGAGTACCTTGAATGTACCATTTCTAAAAAAAAAAATTGTATTTTCATTCAAAGTGATAAATGATAATTAGGTAATAATCATTGAGTAAATATTAAATTTCCTTGCCTGTAAAAATGCCATTCGCTGTAAGAAATCTTTAATATAACTTCCCAATGGTTTTAGTGATGGATATGAATTGTTAGCCCAGACCACTGGTATTTTGCTTACTAAGATACTGTGATAAACTTCTTCTAGTTCGTTAGACATTAAAATTAATCCTAGAAGTAAAATAATAATAAAGTTTCAATAGTTTCATACTTAATGAAAACCAAAAATTTGTATTGCATAAATATTAAAGATAGGCACAATATTGATTTTTTATATTATTTTACTCTAAATAGTAAATAGAAGATACAATATTGTTATTGATAGGTATAAGTTAATATTTTTAAATGTTTAACAAGAAATTGTTGATTTAGGTATCTTGTTTTCCTGGTAGGTATCTACCAGAAATATAAAAGATATAAGAATGGGTATTAGGTATATTCTATTGGATTAGGTATATAATGTATTTTTTATTTTATTTTTAATAAAAATAACTGAGAAACAAAATTAATGTACAATATTTTTAAATGTACATATTATATTATAAATTTAAAAAATAATTAAAAAAATATTCAATACGTACCTAAATCAAATTAAACAGTAGGTACCTATCGTAAATATCAAGTTTAGCAGTACCTTTAACACTTCTCTGTAAGTTTGTCAGGCTAAATTTAATGACGTCCAATAGTTTGTTAAACCGACCCATTTCTTGCACCAGAACTGTATTCATAGACTGATTGTAAGTGGTAGGATATTTTTCAAGAGCGAGTGTAACGTCGAATTTGTTAGGCAATTTGTTAAGGATGTCTGTGGAAAATGTTAAAATCAGATCTTCGGACGATCCACCTTCGCCACCGGAAGTTTTGGAATCCTAAAATCCACAAGACTTGGCTATAAACTTAGATATAAAAATTATATCAATTATTCCTATCTGGGACTATTTTTACAAGGGGATAGGTACCTATTTTTTAAAAAATAGTAATATTATATTCAAATATAAAATGAGCCATT